GCATCCAACTGAGCTGTGTTGTTGATACACTGAGCAATGGAGCTATCACGAAACTAAAAACAATTTTTTTTCCAGGAACACCTTTCTTTAAAGATTCAATTTTGGAAGAAAAAAACCAGGGAATTTGTTTTGAACATGCGTCTTAACAAGTGAACCAAATAATTTTTAACGTGTAGTTAATAATTATGAAAATACAATTAAATTTTTTAACGCTAAGGTATTTATTATCACCTGATTTCGCATTGACCGTCATTGGAGAGGACAACGTTCGTCGGCCTTTGAAAATGAAGGTTCGTCAAATTTCATAATAACTGAAGTTATTATTATTATTTGAGGCATAATAATAATTTTATGAACGAGTCACGCTCGTATGTTCTGAGATAATCATTGAGTACCTGAACCTGCACTATCTTTTCATAGTTTCATGCCTTCAAAGAAAAATTCGTTTATTAGGAAACAATTGGACAAATATTCTATTTCTATTACAATATAAATTTTTATGGTAACAGTCTGTTCGCATACATTGTCGTATCGGTGAATCTTCAAAAAATTGTTGCAGAATCTTGTTTGTCATTACTATGGCGAAGCGAAGGGTGAGCCAGCCCTATCAGCTGCCATTTCTCTATGCTACGAAATACGGTAAGCCAGGAGCATTATTGAAAAATTTCAGTTTTAACCATAGCTGTAAAACAAATTTTTAAAAACTTAAATTTTTTAAAATGTGGAAATTTTAGGTTTCATAGGTATTTTTTGAAGTTATGGAAATTAAATATTGAAATATGAAAGTTTGACAGAACAATTTCCTTTTTTTAATAATTTATAACAAATTTAAGAATGTGATTTCAATAAATCTAGTGAGGAGTGGATACTCTAAAACTGGATATTAAAACAAAAATGTGGAAATTGATAATTGGAATTTGACAACTTTTTAAAAGAACTTCTTAAAATAAATTTTTAAAAAGTACATGTTTATCATTAATTTTGTTAAAATAGCAATATAATTTTTCAATTAAGTTTTGTAAACCGGGGAATGTAAATTTTTATATTTAAAACATCCAAAAAACCTTTAGGCTTCAAATAACTTATAAAAACCTAAAAAAAATTTATTAAACCTAGGTTTTTAACAGCTCTGGCTTGAAGCATAGTTTTTTAAATTTTCATTTTAGCGGGTTTTTCCAAAGAAATAACAACGTGTATAACATAAAATCCAAATATGCTGACTCATTTGAATATGTCACCGTAGAAAAGGCGGTCAACTATCAAAACTATTCCTGCGGTAAAGCTTTTGTGTTTACAAAAAATTCAATAAATTAACATTAACTATGTAACTTCAAATAAACTTATTTTTTTTATAAATTATTTAAATCAGAATTTTAAAGATGTGATATATTAAATGTTAGTCAGGGCCAGACAACTCTAAATCTGCTTTTTTCTTAATATATGAAAAATTAGTTTACATTTTTTAATTCTTTAGTTTACATTTTTTAATTCTCATATATTTGAACTCATGATAATCACCCCAGGATTAGTCACCTCAACTATTGATAAGAGACAGATAAAAGTAAAATTATATAGCATTTTAATTTTGACTTGTGGCTGATGAACATAGAAATAATTTTGCAGAAAACAGTGCGAAACATGACAGGTAGAATCGAGAAAGGTGTCCAAATTGCAAAAATTTATATGGCTGTGGATTATACTGAAGTTGGAATATCTGTCAATTTACATTTTTTTAAACAATGAAAAATATTTTGTGCTAATGTTTATTGAAATAGTATAGTGATTGGAAAAATTAGTTAAGGTGGCTGTGCTCGATAAGGTGCATGTACTTGCTGTTCCTCAAAGTCCTCCTCTGCTCCATTTGCTTTATTACTTTTAAAGTTAAATAAATTATTTCTTATTAAACTAATTGAAAAAGTGGCAATTTGAACATTTGTTTTTTAATCTAATTTCATAGTAGTTTTCAGCTAGTATTAATTTAATAATTTCATTCTTAATTTATAAGAATTTACTAGCCACGTGTTTTTTATAATTTTTTCAAAATACGTGTTATGATAACAAATGTTTGAATGATGTAGCACTAAAAAACCTATCTAACAAATGTAGACTAACTTCGATTTTACAAAATTCTAAATTGAAACGAAACAATGAAAAGTGTTCAAGTAAGTAGACCCAGAAATGGTTATCAAAATTTTTCAGTGTGTTACCAGATATAAAACATACCTCTGATCATTCAGATTTGTTTTTAACGCCACTTAGAAGAAGGCTAACGTTCAGATCAAATCCTATAACGACCATTTTTAAACGGTTTATTACAGGCTTTCCCTAAATTGATAATATTTATTTTTGTTTAGGTTAATACCCTACTGAATACAAACGTTTTGAATTTGGTTCACATTTGAAAAAATGAATGATCTGAATTAAAATTTACTTTTCATTAAAGTACAAAGCTGTGGGAAACAACGCCGAAAAAGCGGCTGACCAGACAATATCAACAATGAGTGCTGCCAGCATGGTTTGGTTTCTACATTTTTAGTTCAAATGGTTTCAAAAGAAATTAAAAAATTTGTTTTATTTTAATTTTCAAAACTTGCAAATTCAAGTTGAAAATAATTTTCTCTGGTTATGAAACAAAAGTTGAACATGCTTTAAATAAAAGTGCTTGTACTAACCAACCTCGGACCGTTGGGCCTAAATAGGGCAGCTATAGTATTAAGTAACACGTAACCGTACTCACACTTGCAGAACAAAACATTTCGTCTCCCATTTCTCCTGTTACCTAACAAAAAATTATCTAAATTACAACAATTTTTTCAAATTTTTCTATATACATTTTGTATTTAAAATCTCTCATTTCATCAACATTTTCTGTTTTCAGTTTTGATATAATTTTGTTTTTTGTTTCCATATTTTGTTAACAATTTTGTTGCATAACAAATCTTAAATTTCTCCTACCCTGTTTAAAATACTTAAACTCCCTCTTTCTTAAAAGCGTTGCGTAATATTAGGACCACTTAATACATTTTCCGGAATGAGTCGATTGGAAGATGAAATAAAGTCATAAAATAAGAACGAACTTTTTGGATATTCCATTATTATTGAGATTAGGAGTTTTTGACTTGTATGATAGCTTAAGTATTACAGAGTATTGACATTGGTTAAAATTTATACAATCATTTATCCATCTAAAACAACCGTTTTTAAAAACAGTATTATCAAAAACTGAAAATCTACATAACCGGTGTTGGCATGGAAATCTACACCACTCAGAAAATTGTTTTGCCAGTCTATACAGATGGCGTTGAATTTACCAAAACGTGGAGTGATTACAAAGTCAAAAATGTAATGGATAATGCTCCATCGCACGACACCACAATGCTGGTTTTGTGAGTACAGATGATTAAATTTTTATTTGAGATTAGCTGCTTGCAACTTGTTTCAAATCCAAATTTTTTTTTAGAAATGCCCATTATGGTACGGTGCAGGGAAAGACCCAATTCGGAGCAACGTTGGGAGTGGCCCAGTTAAGATCGATGTGCAAATGGACGTCAGCTTTATGGATTTCTGTTTGTAATCCAGACAATATTCATCCGTTTTAAATCATGTTTAAAAATGTTTACCTAATAATTTTCATTTAAGTTTTTGATTGGAATAATTTCAACTGGTCATATATTCTTAGCATTTGCTTCAATCAACAATGTCATTAATATCATGGTTTTGTGATGAACGAAAAAAAAAACTCGATAAAAAATCTTTCAAGAACTGTCTTTACAAATTTCAGCTGCACACCGATCCTGTGACGTCTGCTTCTACGTATACTCATGAGTTGGGACACGTCTTTGGGATGAGACACACGGAAGAGGTCCCTGGATGTAAGTGCAATCCTCCGCCTTGTATTATGGATGCCAAAACAAGGTCGGTCTGTGATGCGTTTTGTCAGATGCTGAGTTGAATAATTTTTCTTAAAGAATGGCTCGATTTTCCATTCTCTTTCATAAAGTTAAAAAAATTTAGAACTCTTTGATCTAATTTTGTTAGTTAAGACAAAACAATAATTGAAAATCTGTTTTCAATATTATATTTCACAGATTTTTTGTTCAACAATTTGCAGGACGCATTTGTTTTAACTTTTCTTATAATAATGTTCAACGTTGCCGGCCGTATTGTTATAAATAACCCCACGCCATGTTATACTTGTCCTCAAATTAACTTAAATCAGCTTACTGTAAGTTATCTTGCCTTAATGTAAAGTGTAAGTATGAAAATGTACTGTGTACCAAAAATTTAAAAAAAATCATCAAATATCATTGGAAAAGCAAATCGTTATAAGCATTATCGAAAAGCTAGTATAAAAATTAAAAAATAAACCGTATCTTACTGTAAATAAGCAAAGATATCATAAAATTATAAACATGTAATATGGATCTAAAAATGTTGCTCATCATCATTATTGTAATCAATAATAATAATGATAAAAAAATTTGGGAGTTTTCTTGAAAGTGTGATGATGGGTGGATGTTATTCCCATACTTCTTCTATGTCAAAACAACGCATCCTTTGCAACATGCTGGAAACATCGGTAGTTGGTGTCATGATACAAATTGTCGAAACTTCTCTTAGATGCCTTCATTTGCTCAGGTGTGGGTTGTGGAGTTGTGTATTAATATAGGTCAGTAGGGTCGATGGAAACTAGTTTTGTGAGGTCTGTAAATTTCTAAGCGAGAGTAGTTCGTTAAATTGCTGACAATTGGACAGTTTAGAAGATAGAATGCAAGAGGTGTTGGTAATGAAAAGATGTAGTGAGGAATTGCTCTTCAGAATGTTTTCTCAGTCTTTTTTAATGAAAGAGTGCAATGGATCTATATGGAGGAATTGAAGAATGGATGGGGAAGATGGACGGACAGATTGACAGTAAATCACTGAACGAATTTAAAAGAAATAAGATAAGTTAATAAAATATATATAGTTTTTATAACCTCGTAACTGCCAACACCGATATTATAACTTCAATGATCTCTACATTTCCAACACCAGTGTTGTAGCTTTCAACATCGACAAGTGTTCGTCATTTAGTTGGTTCAAGATTTCAGATAGATTATCACAACTTCTTCAAACGCAAACTTTGTTGAACGTTTATTTGAACACTTAAAGTAATAGAAACAATAAACTAATCCAAGTAACTACATAAATCTTATTTACAACTTCGCTTTCTTCGTTGGAAACCTAACTAACACAAAGTGTGTATAAAGGCCAGCAATGTTTCTTTACACTCTATGGTTTAACATCCAAAGATTACAATTATAGCAAAGATGCAATTATTAGAATAACAAATAATATAGTGCATTTCGATCTTTCCCGCGGTTATAACAATGTTATTGAAAGTAACAGAAGTAAACAATGTTAATACTGAGCGTTCAACAAATAAGCAATCTTAATATTGTTTAAACTATTGTCTAAACAAATTTCGCTTTGAATGTCTGTGTAAGTGTTGCAAAGTGAACGGATAGAAACAATTGATTGTATCTTAATAATAAGGGAGCTACGAATGTTTAAGTTTTAATTTTTTTAGCGTGAACGAAGTTAATCCATGACAACATTTTAATATAGTGATGCACTAATTAATTTGACTATTCTATTCACAGTTTTTGATTTATTATATATTAATTTAGCGATAAAACAATAGTGAAAATAATTTTTCAATCTCTTTTACTCAATGGCCGTTGTCGTAACTACGTCCACCGATCAGTGCAAACAAGAATAGCGTTTACTCATGGGCTAGTTGCTCCATAGAAACACTTGCCGAAGTTTACAGCGAACACGTTTGTCTTCTCAAGAGGAAAGCAGCATTCGAGTTGTTTCCAGTTCTGTGTGGCAATGGCTTGCCAGATGTAGGAGAAGACTGTGACTGTGGATCTTTTCCAGAAGATGTGAGTTTTTTCTTGTAAACTAAATTACTATTGGAGACAAAAAAATTTTAATCAAAAAAACTATTTCACAACCTGTATAAAAAAATAAATTAATAATGTTTGTCTTATAATAAATACAATGTTTGTAATGGTTATCCAATTATAAAAACGTTTATACCTAACTATGAACAACTAAAATTTAATTCTTTAAATTGTTAAAAATTTAATGACCGCTTCCAACTGCTGTCAACAGTACTGTTCAAGAAAATGTTGCGATGTGAAAACATGCAAATTTGTTGTGAATGGATCAACATGTGCCACAGGGTTGTGTTGCGATTTGACGAAATGTCAGGTGTGTACTTCGTTGGATTATCACTTTTCTCATATTACATCATAGGTTCAAAGTAAATTAAGCAGTTCTATTTCATTTGATTTTAAAATTCAATCAAAAACTGCGTGTGTACTTTCAATTCTTAGTTCCTTATCTTTCATTATGTTTCCTAAAAAAACAAATCATATTTCTTTAGAAAATATTTTTTTCAGAACAAACAACTAACTGATTCATAACTTAAAATTTTAAGGCGATGTCAGCTGGAACCGTATGCAGGAAAAGCATCAACGAATGCGATCTGGAAGACAGATGCGACGGCGTATCGTTCTTATGTGAGAACAGACGAAAACCAAATGGACAGATGTGTTCTGTAAGTTTTCTTGTGATTGAATCCATGGTGCTGACAGTTAGCTCAAATCTTGAAAATAAGCGTGAATGAAGTTTGTTCGAATCAAACCGTACAGAAAAATTATAACGGTATTGAAATCTATTCAGAATCAAGAGTATTGCTACAAAGGTAAGTGCAACTCGCGTGATTTACAATGTTCTGAGTTCTGGTACCCTGGAACTAAGTCAGGAAACGAGAAATGTTATCAATTTACCTATGTGAAACCTGACGACTGTTTTCATTGCGATCACCATGAACCGACAAAACAAAATTTTCCTTGCGAAGAACGGTAGGTTCTTTATATAATAAACGTAGAAATGGATAAACATAAAAAATGTATTCATAAACATATGTATTTCGTGTGAGTTTGTGATGGAAATAAAAGTTTTTGAGCAACGTGCGTGGAGCGATTTTAAATGCGATAAAATATTTATGAAAATATTCAACACTCCCACGGTTATACGCCCTCTCCCTAAGAATACGTCACTTTTTGAGACATCCTAATTTAAATATAATGAAAATTTATTTTTTTGATATGCCTAATTCTACCCTGTTTATCTTATATGTTCAATTTCAATGTACCAATGTTGTTAATGTTTCATAATTTGTTTGCTTAATGAGTTCGTGGTTCAAGCAACCGAAACCAAATGAAACTACACATCAGAAAATAGAATTGTTAATTAATAGGTATGTTTAAGTTGGAAATATGAAGACAAATATTTAAATTAAATTGGCAATAGAAGTCAAATCAGTTTGAAAAAACTCATTAATAAACAAATTATTAAATTATAATAAATTATGTCAACTGCAATAATATAAACTAAAAAAAGTAATTCATCAGCATGATTTGTTTTCCAACAAGTCGATATTTTCTGTCATCTAGAATTGCAACAGCTTAAAAACAACAAAAGATATTTCAATTTAAATATTTGTTAATAATTTTTATAGTTTTATGATGCAGATCAACTTGAACTCTAAACATCCGAAAGGATTAGATGATTTCATTACCACAGACCACTATGGATAAAATACCTTAAAAAATATTAACCATATTTTAGTCTCTTTATTTGTTTTACAATTTTTTAGAAAATGTGTTTATTAAGTTTGTTATTAAATATACTTCTGTTTAATAGCATCAAGTTCTATTGTGAATATTTTTTCTAGCAATTATAGATGTGGCCGATTACTCTGTTCCGTGCCTGGAATCCAATATAAAAAACCAGTGAAGCATCCTTACAGCGCTTACTCTGACACATGTGTGTGTGCCAGTTACCGGTTCACTCGGGGAAGCAAGCACATGTCGTACGTCAAAGATGGAGTGAAGTGTGGCACGAACCAGGTTTTACTTTCTATCTAGTTTATTTCCAAAACGAAATAACATATAATACGAATGTATATTTCCCGGGAGTTAGAGTTAGGTATGTGTATATATATATATATATATATATATATATATATATATATATATATACATACATTTTACAAAACCAAATAATTTGTTGTTTTAAAGGCTTGTTTCAACAGAGAATGCATCAAGAGGGCAACTCTCATTGAGTTGTCAGACCACGAAACTGATTACGGTGCTGGCAATTTTCAACCAACAATAGAATTGGATGATGTGATTAAAATTTCTGTTATTTTATATCACGTCATGGAAATTAGTTTTCGCAACTAACTAGTTCCTCGAAACATTTGGAGAATCTTTTCATGTGCACTGATGCAAAATATCTTCAGCGTTTATTTTTTCACTATAATAAACAACATTTTTCTTTACCAACCTTTGTCATTTCAGTATTAAATTCAACAGCAGAATTTGACAAAATTACATAGTATTATAATTGCATACAAACATCATTATAAAATTAAAAATCACATTTATCTAATCAGGTCAACTAATTGCATTATATTTGCAAACATTTTTATATTTTGTTGTCAATAATTTTAATTTTATAACTCAAAAAAATAGTAAAAACAGTTTGTTTTATGTAATAAATTTAACAAATACCAACGGTAAAAGTTTCCGCCTCGTGTGTTATTTCTACCAGAGGCCTATCCAAGGGAAGCCAGCGCCCCCCGTTGTGAGCAGTATTTTAAAATTTTCAATGTGTTAGTAAAACTTTTTGTTATAAAAACAGAATTAGCACCATTTTATGAATATGGTAATCGTAAAAACTGCCACAAGTGTTGGACCCCGGTCAAAATTTTAGCCACCCGTGCAAACTTAAACATTTCCAAAATTTTTGTTCTCCCGTCATATTTGTCTAGATCCGCTATTTCTTTCTACCATAACGTTATTACGATTCGCTTGAAACCTCTCTACAAACCTGTCTCTCCCCAGAACCTTGTATACAATAGCACTTAGACTATATTTTTACAATTAAAAGATTACAAATATAGCGAAGTTAACGAATATTCAAGATTACAAATAATATAGCACAATTTAAACATTGCAGCGGTTTAAACATTGTGCGTGCGAGACTGTTTTTTATGAAACTCAAGATGATCCCATTATAAATCTAAAAGATATATTTAAAATAGAATGTTTTAATTGCATTTTGCATTTGCATTGCAATTGCATAATTGCATATTAATTGCAATAGTTCTAAAATTCGATTGAAAAAAATTAACCATTTAAATAAACACTGATGCTTTTTAATTGCTGTACGATTTTGCAAATATTAACGAAGATTTTTCAAAGGAAATTCTTGAGAAAAATTTTAAATCTTTAAAAAATATTAAGCTCAGATAGTAGAACTAATAAACGATTTCTAAATATCAAATTAACAAAGCTAAACCGAAATCAAATAAGAAACTCAAATGAACATAATAAAAGTAGTTTATCAAACAGAAAATTATCAGTCTATTTTCAAGTCAGTTTAAAAAAAATTGTCACATCATACACCATGTTTCTGTTGCTGTATGTTGGGTCTGTTGTTGACCTTGAAAAATATGTTTTGACAAAAAATTTTTATGAAAGGTCTCTTTTTATTGTAACAAATAAGAAAATTTACAAAGGGGACTGGTTTTATAACTGCCTTGTTGTTTTGGAAATATTTGCAATGTTAAAAAATTGTACGTTATAAGTTCATAGCATTGAAAAACGTAATGGCATGAAGTTAGAAAAATTAAACATTCTTACTATTTTTTCTAGGTAGAAAGGAACCAGTCAAACAAATTTGAAACTTAAAATAATTAGGTTAAAAATGTTGGTAATAAAAAAAAGTCAATAAGATGAGATTAAAAATTGAGGTGAAATAATTTAATTTTAAAAAGTAATAAATGCCCATTGATTCTTAGATATAACCATATATCTTCAAAATGACATGTACTCACTTAGCTCATTGCTATGCTAAGTACTTACAATACTGCATATTTACGAACTTAATTATATAAAGTAGATTATGGAATACTCTTTGATCTTATAGGAGTAATTATTGCTGTTGAGATTTACTCACCAATAAAGGACTTTTGTTAACCACAGACGTAATTATACTGAATACTTACCATATTAAATACTTACAAACTTATTTATCTAAAGAAGTTAATGGAATACTCTTTGATCTTATAGAAATAATTATTGCTGTCGAGATTGACTTTGATGTAAAGCTTGTTGCTGTCCTAATTGGTGTTGCTCCATATTGGCATTGATTGGATCGATTTTGGTCGATGTTGGGTTTAATTGTGTAGGTAATTGGTGTTGCTCCAATAAGGTTGAGTTAATTGGGATGGTGAGAGTATATAAGCAGACGTCCGATGAGGTACGGAGTTAAATTTTCAAAGCTATCTTCTGCTCTTTTGAATTAACTACTCTCATTTGAAAACTTTTCGTCTGATTTGGCTAACATATAATTTTTTTGTTGAATTGTGTTATTCAATTTTTATTTAGATCTACAACAATTACTATAGTGTTAATATTGTCAACTGAACTAAAAATTATTTTAAAAAAACTTCAAACTACACCGACAAAATCATCAACAGCCGTAGCATTAATCGCAGCACTGACATCATCAACGACATCCACATCTCGAAATGTCTTTCAGAAACACAACAAACGAGCAAGTTAAAGCTGTTGAAATCTGCTCTTGTCATCTGATGGATCAACTCCTCAATGAATATGTCGACACTGAAACAAAAACAACAACAACTTTCATCAACAAGAATGTTGAAGGTGATGACTGTGAAATAGACGACGACGATGATAATGATGATGATAACAACAAACATAGAAATGATGATGATGATTCAGGGAAACATGATTCTGATGAGTTCACCACCAGTAGCGAAAAGGGCAATGATGGTGATGAAGAGTATGAGGATGATGTTTACAGAAACATCAGTGACAGCAACAGCGATGACTCCATGTTTAGGAAAACAGTCATCATCAACAATGACGTCATCATTAGCAATAACAATGACATCATAAACAACGACAGCGAAGGCGGCAGTTTCCACAAAACCGCATTCTCCCACTCAACACCAAAACAGGAACTTCAAGAACTACAACAGAACAACACGCAACTGATTGACAAACTCAAAAATTTAGACAAGAGTTTTTCAGAGAGTTCAGGTTATAGTGCATTTTATGATGAAATTTTTAACAACATTGATTTTAAAATTAACAGGACCAAAAACTCTAGTGAAGATGATGATGACGGTGATGAAAGTGACTGGCTCCAACCTATCTACTTTGGTTCGGAAAGCAACAACAGCTACAAAAACAGCACACTCACGAATGTTACACAAATGAATGATGACAGTTTCAACGTAAGTTTGGTATCATCAATCTGGGAGGCTGAGAGTGGAAGGCTTCCTTGCAAACGCAACATCAATGACATCAACGATATCAAACACAGTACAAGTGTTAAAAACGACAATAACACTAACGAAAATGATGGTGACCTTTCTTGCAAGATCAAATTTGACTTCCACAAATATATCAAGTACAACCAAAACAGCAGCAAGCACATCAACCTGAGCTCAAGTGAAGAAGATTACACTAAAGAAAGTTACTGGCTCTCTCCCATATACTTTGATTTCAACACCACCAACAACAACAACAAAAAAAACACCAACAACAGTATCAGCCGCACCGCCAACAAAATAAACAATGTCATAAACCAAAAAATTCAAAAAAACATCGGCGAAAACATCAGCGACAACAAAAACCACACTAAACAATTTAACTTCAGTTTAATCGAGGAAGATGAAAGTGATGAAAGTGCCTGGCTTTCCCCCATCTACTTTAATTTTAACACAACACCCAACGACAACAACAACATCAGCAACAAAATAAATTATGACATAAACCAAAAAAACCAAGAAAAAATCTACGAAAACATCAGCGACAACAAAAACCTCACTAAACAATTCAACTTCAGTTTAATCGAGGAAGATGAAAGTGATGTAAGTGCCCCCATCTACTTTAATTTCAACAAAACACCCAACGCCAACAACAACATCAGCAACAAAATAAATAATGACATGAACCAAAAAAACTACTACGAAAACATCAGCGACAACAAAAACAACAACAAACACATCAACTTCAGCTTAATCGAGGAAGATGAAAGTGATGAAAGTGACTGGACCTCTCCCATCTACTTTGATTTTAACAACGCCAACAACAATGATATTTACAATCAAAACAACATGAAATTTAACATTCAACTTTTTTCAAGATCAGTTGCAGCAGCAACAACAACTACAACGTCAATAACTACAACAACAAAAACAACAGCAATAACAGCGTCAACAAAACCATCAACAACAACAACGTTGATTATGAATATATTGGAAAATACACCGGTATCATCATTAAATACATCATCACACGGTATCAACTGCTGCGGTCGTAACAGCAAACTGCCATTAAAAAATGAAAAAATTTCAAAAAAGACGACTCATCCGAGTTCGAATGCAAATCAGAGAAAAAAAAACATACTTCAAAGAATTTTTCAAAGAATCAGAAAAGTCTTTCATAAAAGGAAATGAAAATCCTACATTGCTAACTGCAAATTGTCTCTATGACAACAACAACGACAACATTAATTTCATCAACAACAACAATCTTCAGAGAAAATGGAAATTCCACAGCAAATGATTTATAATCGTTTATGAAAAAAACCGATTTTATTTTCTATTTAGAGTTATTGAAATGTTTTTTTTTCTTTTTGCTGTTATCATTTTCTTTTCATCTCTCCCTTTAATTTTTTCTCAATCATCTTGTCTCGTAAGTTAAGTTGTTTAGAATTTGTATTGATTCAAATGGCATAACGCTTGTTCATTAATGCCATCCTTAAATTACGTTAGACGACTTCATATAATAATTTTCATTTTATAATTTTCTACTTTGTTTCTACTTCATATAATAATTTTCATTTTATAATTTTCTACTTTGTTTTTGCTGCTTTTTTGAGATATATGAATACAAATTTACAAGTTTAATAATTTTGTCGTTTTAATATTTCAAAATAATTAAATAAACGTTAAGCGACTCATCGAATTAGAACACCATATTCAGTTTTACAGGTCAGTTACTGGTCTTGTTAAATGTTGAGTCAAACTGAAGTTTTATAAATACATAAGTGTTTTTTTTTATTTCACAGCCTAATAAATTAACTTTTGGATGGGCGAATTAATTAGTCCACAAGAAAGAGCATGCCGTCGATTTTGGTCCTATTAAAATTTTCATGTCTTTTCAATAAAAAAATCAAAATCTTTTCATCACCATCTTTAACTGGTGGCATTTAGTGTGTCAGTATTTAATCTTTGAGACTTGGTTTTTTTTATAATCTAAATGAATGACTTTTCAGATTTCGAAATTCCTGCAAACATCTTCAGTCCATAACTCTTCAGATTATCCGCACCTTTTAACAAAAGAAATAACGGAAAGCTTTGAGTTCTGCTAGATTTGTTGCTTGCCATAAATTTTGTTTTTACTTGCTTTATTGCGGGTTAGTGCATACCCTCATTTTCGGACTAAAAAGAACAAAAAACCACAAATTGCAACACGTATACTAATAACGTGTGACGTAAAATATTGAATGAAATATAACAAAATAAGTTTCTAATTTGGGATCGCAAACTATATTTTGTTGAAGAATTTGTAAAAATGTTAATCTGTACGAAAAGTTTATAATTAATATGTGGGAGATGACACACAGCATGAAATATTCGAATTTTCCATCAACGGTAGATGACGAATTATAGTTTGATTACAAACAGACACAGCAAAACAGTATTCAATAGAGAAATGTCTAAACGGGCCATAGCCAGGGTGCTGCGTATATCGATAATAAGGATGTCACTTCTTGCAATGATCTTGCCTCTGCTGATGCACTTCCTGTCCAGACAAACCTGTTTATCATGAAAAATTCAATTTATAGTCTATATTTAGGAATTCGAATATGAATTCTCTTTTGATTTTTTTTTCTTTTACTTAACATGAGAGCAGATTCTTTAGATTCATTGCGTGAAATCGAATTAACAGTATTGCGTAAGACAATGAAGTCTTAGTTTTTAGAAAACATAACATACCTAACATGACATAAATGTTGTATGAAATAGGCGAAAATTAAAAGTCACCATTCCCATATCAAGAATAAAAATGAACTGTATATAAAAAAAACATATAATTTATTAATAAATAAATAAACCGTAATAATGAAAGAATAAATAAATAAGAAAGAAAAAAGTAGTTACTAACTCTATTGCGCCCACACTTGGTGCCATCCTGAACAAACCCTGGATTATACGCTTTTCCAACACTGAAGATTTCAGCGCACGTGCAATTAAGATGTTGATACAAAACAGTATTCCTTATTCGGATCGTTTCAAATCCTTCCAAATTGCAAAGAACTCGACCACAAAGCACATTTCTTCACAGAAAACATTTATTTATTTCATGTTTAATACTTCAATAAAATTTCAGATCATTTTATATAATAGAATAGGAAAAAATACATTTTTTATGTTGATCCAGAAACATTTAATCTAAAACTTCTCCCTAATTTGCTATAGTGAAATTTTATTTACTTAAAATTCACCCCATAAATGAGAAAATTAATCTTACTCTAGCTGGCATGGAACAGCTTTATTCGTTTCCATGATATAATCGCAGTGGAAGCACGGCCAGGTGCCCATGTTGTTTTTGTAGCATTCCTCTGTAGCAGACTTGACGTTTAAATGATCCCAGAGTGAAGCACACGCCTGATCTCTCGTCTGACAGAACCCTTCGAAACAAAAGTGGTGACCCTAACAATGCATATTTAAATATGTATGTTTTTGTGTTTTATATAGCATTTTATCTGATTATCGGCGTGATGGCTCAATGGTTAAAGGCGCCTGGTCTTGCTATTGCAATGACTGGGTTCGAATACAAAGAGATCCCCGCCTATGTGTATGATGCGTGGTTTGCACGCGTATTCATATACGTTGTGTGTGTTTGTTGTTGAAACCTCTGAAGCTAACGCAATAGAGAAAGTAACCTTTAACCTTTTTTTTATCTAATTTATACAGGTCACCATATATGAAATTTTTTATAAAATGATGGACAAAGTTGTGAGGTGAAGGGATTAAAGTTAACAAAATTTTTCAAGCTCCTTCTAGTCAGAGTAACCATGTATATATAAAATTGGTCGGCGCTATAGTATAATGGTTAAGGTAACTGGTGATGTTGGTGCTGGCTCGAAGGTGAAGTGATCTCCACCTATCACATGCAAAAGTGTATTTTGCGTTGATTCACGTGTATTTATACTCTGTGTTTTTGTTGTAATAATCTCTAAAAAATATCTAAAACAACATTGGCGGATCTAGAATGGAGGGGCCCGCTGTGAGCATTATTTATATTAAAATTAGTGAAACCAAAAGAATTAGAAAAACCAGTAAAAGTATCGATTTTGACTGAAAAAAGCTTTAAGGATAATTTAGATCCCATTACCACAAATGTAATGCTGGCCCTTTTCTTCCAAAGATATCTAGATCCGCCACTGAATGGCAGTATTGAGAGACTTACGTACAGCGCACATGACGCCATCAGGTTTTGTCATGTCGACGCAGTTTTGGGTGTCTCCGTCGCACACATCATCGAGGTCGCAGTCATTGTACGACGCTCTGCAGACAGTGCCTCTTGTTTTAATCTTTTGTCAATTTGTTTGTAGGAAGTTTATATAATTTGTGAGCGTTTTTGAGCATAAAGTTAACGAAGTTATATAAATCTTAGTAAAATCGCTCGTCAATAAACATCACAAAAACTACAACATATCAAACAGCCATTGAAATGTAAAAGCGCTTAGAAACTGTAAAAAAGTAAGATTAAAAATCAACACTGAAAACATCTAGGAGTTTTTTTCACGGCTACTAACTTCACATTTTAGTAAATCACAGCATAACCCCGTTGAACATTCAGCGACGTTTGTCAACTTGCATCTTTCCATGTCGCAACACTCCCTAGAACACAACTGTTAGAAATTTTTGTGATTAATTTTGATTCGTTTATCCTCTCCAGTTAAATGTTTCGGTTGTTTTCGTTTACATAAGAATATGTTTTTTAAATGAAAGGTTCATCTACGTTAAACAAAAAGATTTAGATGATATATGCCGTTATTGTTGTAACCCTTGACTCTTGTATCTACCAACACCGATGTTATAAATACAAAAGATCTCTACATTTCCAACACCAGTTTTGTAGCTTCCAATGATCGTTAAGCTTTCGTAATTCCGTAGGTTCAAGATTTCCGAAAGATGAACACAACTGCTTCAAACGCAAACTTTGTTGAATGTTTATTTGAATACCAAACAGTATTAGAAACAATGAAGTAATCCCAAAAACTACATAAGTCACATTTACGACATCGCTTTCTCTGCTGGAAACCTTACTAGAAACCTGACTACACAAGATTTAGATTTTCAGCATAGATTCAATATTTCTTTACAGTCCACTATCCAAAGATTGCAAATATAGGAAAGATAACAATAATCAAATAATAAATAATATAGCGCGCTTTGATTATTCTGGCTGTTATAACATTATTAATAATTTCAACCGAAATTTAAATAAAAAAAACAAAGAGGAAGTTGTAACATGTTCAGGAAGGCTACCACAATCACATTCCTCCCCCGACGTGACCAGTCCATCTCCACACTCCAGCCTGTTTATCTCGAACTCGGCAGGCTTGAAGAGACAGAGTTGAATTTTAAAAGCCGTTTTTAATCGATCGATGGAACACGATGACCAGCTGACCTGCTTGGAGCCACTGAGGCTGCCATCAGTGAGGTAAGTTCAAAAAAAATTATTTCTTAGTTTCCAACATAATTTTATAACAATTTTTTTCAAGTCGTTCAATAATAAAAGTTTTTCAGATTTTGAAGTTATTATATTTATTATAAAAATGTTTAAACAAATTTCAGGCTAAAAATTATCGCTTATATACAACTAATTTAAAAGCAAAAACGCTGGCACATAATTTTTATAGTTGACAGAGCAAATCATGCAAAACGATGCGAAACTTTGCATCATAGTTTCTTAATCACAAAAATCACAAGATTAAAATGATTCATGTAGCCGTGTGATATATCTTAATTGAGGCAATCCTTACTAAAGTTCTAAAAAGTCTGTATCATTAGTGCAAAGGTTTTTACAACTTTTTTTACAAATAGAGATGTTAACAATAGTTTTAAATTTTTTCTTTATATCATTACGTTTATACAGTCTTGACATTTTTCAAAATTAGTTCCTTGCAGATTTAGAAAATTCAGATATAACGTTGTTCCAATTTAACATACTTCAAAAAAAAACTAGGATTAATAATATTGAATTATATTGAATTATATTATATTGAATAATAATATTTCATTAATGAAAATAAAAATTGTTTCATGTTTCAACTGGTGATGATAATTAGTGTTTAAAATATTTAAAATTTCCCACAAAAAAAAACTGAAAAAGATTTTAATTACGAATTATTCATCAAAAAACATTTTGAAATGTTTTGAAAAAGTAATTTTTGTCTTCAAAAAATAAAAGTTATGAAACTTGAAAATTCACGAAAGAATTATCGAAATGGAACAACCAATGAACGACGTTTTGTATGAATATTTTAGAATAACAAGTGAACTGAAGATATCATTAAACCTCGGAGAACTCACTCAATCGACTGATCCATAATGCAGGGAGGATTTCGACACACACATCCTGCCTCTTTCTGAACGTGATTCAGGCCGAACAGATGCCCAATTTCGTGTGTCAAAGTGACAGACGAGACCGTATTAGATTTACTGTACTGAATTTTGTGTCTCAAACTTTAAAATCTTTTCATTTTCGTCATAAAAAATTTTAACATATGTACTTACATTTTGCCTAATAACAAACAATACAAATTAAATTAATTAATAAATTAAATTAAAAATTGGCTTAATTCATTAAGCCAATAGCCGACTAAATAATTTATTCAATTAATTTTTGTAGAAATTCTAGCTTTGCCTTTTTAAAATATATAAAATCATATATTTCTCATTGTGTTAGTGTTAAGAATCAAGAAATTTTGTTTTAAAAAATGTAACAATTCTGCTAACCCGAATCCAGGCGGATGATTTCGTTTTACACAATGAATTAATAATTCCAACACCAAGCGTACCTTCGAAATCTGCCTTTCTTTGAAAGTAGGTGTAGTAAAATTTAAACCCGTCAATTAATAAATATTTTAAAACATGTCTATGATAGCTAACACAACTAAAACTGTGGCATCGTGAATTGGAACGTTTGGCATAACATTTTCAATTTTGTAATCATTCCATGCAAAAACGAATTGATCTGGATCAGGCGAAATCACAATTTTTGGAGTTTCCCAAATTTCTATACCAACAACACTCAGAAAAATATCCACTTTTTGGTAATTCTTTGGAATATTATATTTTTATATGTAATCACGGAAAGTTAACAATAGGATGTGATAGAAAGCTAATCATAGGATGTGACAGAAATTTAATTATAGGACGTGACATACCGACGAAGCTCCGTTCACAATCGTTAGAAGTTTTTCGACTGTACCGTTGGCGTCCTTCCCGCTTTTTTCGTACTTTTCGATGAAAATACCCGTCGCAAATAAAAATTAAAAGAGCGAATTAATGAGTACATTTCTTTGTATGTGTGTGCGTAATATATCGCTTTTTTAATTTTTTAATAAGAAGCGTTTTAAAAATTTTTCAATGCTTTTACTTGATATACATTTCAATATAATGGCATTTTTTTGCAAAAAAAAAAATATTTCCACCTCGGAGTAGTCAACAACAAAATATAGTTTTGCAATTCGAACTTTCCTATCAAAGTCCGCAAAATCAGTACTCTGCAATTATTTAAATCATAAAGTCATTAGAAAGTTTCGGAAAAATCCTCTAGAAATTTACTCGTTTTCTAATTGAATGTAAATTTTGGAAAATGTTTTCCCGTCCATCAACACTGTCATACTTATTTTTGTTTTCTGTGATTAAATATTTGAATTTTGTAGCATTAATTTTTCAATTTTATTATTCAACGAATTAGATGCGGGAATCGAAATTGGGCTGAAATTTCATAATTTTTATAATTGTTTTTTTAATAAGCCTTTTCGTTCTGATATTTTTAAAAATTTCAAAAATTATTAATTACAAATCTAACTGCAATAAAAGGTTGAATTCTTTGACTGTCTGGATATACGTACGTGTGACATATCATCATCATTGATAGAGTTTATGTCGTATAGCACGGAAGCTAATTCAAAAAGTCCGCTGTTCAGTAAGAGTTCAAGAATTTGAAAAACTTTTAACAAAGAAGTAATTGTATGCATATAATAATTAATCATTAGTAAAATGATTGAAAAATTTAATATATGTGTTAATAAAATCGCTATTCTTTACTGTATGCCAGTGCAGATTGAAACAGAAATTTTCCAGTTTTTATTGCCGTTCACGTACCCATTGAAATAACAATTTTTTGGCTGGTATTTGGAATTTGAAAAGTTTGAAATAGTATTTATGTAAAATCTATGTTGTTGGAGCTTGTGTTATATTTTTATCTTATGCCAAAATAATATTATTGAGCTAATTAGTAACTATAAAAAAATGCAATTTCTTTCGAGATGCAAAAATCGTAATATACTGGATAGAATAATAATTCAGATTTATAAACTATTTATAATAGAACAAATGACGATATTGAAAAGTTAATCATTTACTTTTCCACGGACTCTTCTGCGAGGTCCTCCCTCTCCAACAATCTGCACCTCAAAGTTTGATGGCAGCAACTTTCTATGTACATTTTATAATTGTTTAACTGTGAATGCTGATAGTGTGAATGATTTTTTTAAAAAAAGTTGGATACTTATCTTATGAATGCCAAATTTATATATGATTGGAGGGCAAATGATACTTGATTTGACATTGGCTATTTGTGAGATTGGAATGTATTCAAATTTTTTATCAGTATGTATCGATATTGTCGTCAGTTTATTGATTAGGATATGTGATAAATTTATTTATATTTGTTTTTTTATTATCTACTTTTACAAGGTTTAATACACTATTTGACTTATAAGAACATTAATTATTTAATATTTATTCAGTATACAGACTCATAGGTTTATTTAATTTTTGTTTTAAAATTGTCTTAGTTTTGAGAAGGCACAGGAACCTTTCGTCTTCGCCTTTTTTAACGTAATAATAATAATAATAATATTAATAATAATAATAATTAACATTACAATGTTTAGACGAAAAAGTAACAATAAAATTTTGGTTAAATATCACGATTATGACAAGTTCGAAATTTATCTGTCCGTTGACTGCCCACAAAACTAATGCCTAGTAGTTATTTATATAACTTTTTGATTAATTTGTGACAGTATTATTAATTTTTTATGGATACTAATATTTATCAATTTACCAAAAATTTAATTTTTTGTTATCCAAACATTTCGTTAAAACTAACTTGTTTAACCGCAGCGAGAATTCACAAAGAAATATGGAATTTTGTTCCAGTCGAATTTTCAACGACGTCAGGTTCTGTGTGGGAAATTTTTATTAAATTCAATTTTTTCAATTTTGATTTTGAAATATTATGCTCTACGAATAGGCACCGTTAAATCAGTGGGTGTGATCTTCACATTTTGAGTGTCAAAAAATAATAAGTGATATTCTCTATGGAAAGTGTTTTCTAAATTAAAAAAGAAATAGAATTATTATTTTATCTCAAATTTAAATTTATCATATAAAAAAAATATATTAGTTATCTTATTTTCAACTTTGGAAACCTGATGTGACTTTTCTTATGAATGTGAAAAATAGAAAAAAACTGATTTCGTGCATTGTTTATTTCTGCTAAAGTTGTTTTCTTTGACGCTCAATCAAAGAGCTTTAACAATCTTCTGAGGTAAATGGTAAATTTTTTCATTTGGTCAGTAATATTTAGTCATGTTTAATATTATATTATAATTTCTAAATTGCCAGGTAGAAATAAAATCAGTCGATTTTTGTTTCAATTTGTTTAACTTTCTTTAATTGGTTTCTTGATTAGTACAATCCAAAGTTATATTTGGTATACCAAAATTTTTGAATATAATTTCATTATTTGGTATACCAAAATTTTTGAATATAATTTCATTATTTTATAATAACGACATAAAATGTTGATTTTTTAAAAGTAACGCTGTTAATTTTTGTAAAATAAACAACCGAATGTGAAACAATTGTACAACTTTCATTCAACACATATTGATAAAATGTTGTTAACAAGTTATGTACGTAGAATAAGGATTGTACATTCAATCATACGCTTAAACGAATAAAAATTATTTTAATTATTTAACAGATTGAAGGTGTATCATTAGCCATGTTAGTAAATATTGCAGATTTTGTTTTGAAAACATACCATGATAATCAGTTTAGCGATGATTTCAATCATGGGATCGACCCCGCGCCATGTAAGGATAAACATTCCGATCACGAATATGAAAGTTTGTTTTAATTAATTTATAACATTAATGAACATCAATCTTTTAATTTTTTAAATAATTTCACCAGCCACCGACAAATTTGCGGCTTTGTTGATTTGCACGGAAAGATTGGACGGCGTAGGGGATCTGCCATTTAACGATAGCGACTCTGAGAGCTATTCTGAAAATCAGCCAACTGCTTCTACAGGTTCGATAAATTCGCATTTTTTTTATTTAATAGAGAAACTGTACTCTGAAGTTAAATTTAAAAGAAGGATTTTTACAACAAATTGTGCCTACAAAAAGATGAAATATATAAAAATTATACACTATACAGCTTCACTGCTTCAACCCAAATATTTTTCCTATTTATATTAGTCGAACTTGAAAAACCATAAAAAATCTGTCCTACTCGTTAAAACATTAATTTATTTTTCAATAAATTATAACAAATTACTTCATATTTTACTTCTTGGTAATAATTTTAACACTTGACAAGAAAATTTGTCTTTATCATTCTGAAAATAATTACTTTCGTTGTCTCAAAACTTCATATTTCCAAATTTCATCCATATTGGCAAATATTTAAAAATCAAAGTTTTGTTACAAATATAGCAACATTTAAATAACTGCTCGATTAATATAACACTTAGTTCTTGAATTTTTGGTTTTTAATATTACACATTTTAACAGTAATTTTTCAGTAGGCCTACCTATTATTTTTTTAAATAATTCTGAAACTTCTTTCAAACTGAAATTTTTTAGAGGATCCAAACATTTCATCGGATTGCGGGACGAAAACGATTAACCCGTTGCCTTTCATCTCAAACTATCAGCTCACTCCCGACTCATTTGATGAAACCCCGGTGTACTTTAAGGAAGAAATCGTCGTAACGACAGGTGAACTCTTGGAAACTATAAAATTTAATTAATGCAAAACTCTGGATGTCAAACGAAATAAACTTTTATTATTTCAAATTTGCCCATAAAGATAAGCGGAACGTAGTCAAAATGATAAAATTTAAAACCAAATTATTTAAAATATTTATATATTTATAATTATTCATGATTATTTATAATACAGCCAAACACGATACTACCCACCAGCATTTGAAAAAGTTGAGACGCTACAAGGCCAACGTGAGAGAGCGCAGGAGGGTCATGAGGCTTGCGATAGGCTTTCAAACACTCAAGAAACACATCCCTTTCGATAGGTTTCATAAAAAACTCCACCACAATGTCTCTTTTAATTCTATTTTAATTTTTTTAAATAATCCTCAACAATTTCACTGACGTTACAGTACCAGGAAACATTTGTCCCAATTAAGAATCCTGCGGGGAGCTATTGGTTACATTAAATTTCTGAAGAGGCTTTGTGGTGAAGTTGCTGGGTTCTGAAGGGCTCCGATTTTTTTTTTGCTTTTTACCTTATTTGATATTTTTCCTTTTTCAATACTTTAATTGATTTTTGTTAAAAGTTTTTAGTTTTGCTAACAGGATTGAAGAATAGAAAAATAGTGTTTCCAACATTCAACATTTTAAACTTATCGTGTGTGCAGTCTCCATTAAAATATCCAGATGTAAAACAACTTCAGTCAAATATAATGATTACAAAATTCGTTGAAATTTGTCGAATGTTTTGTTTAATTTTGTATTTTTATGTTTAATTTTTAACTTTAATTTGTAAGAATAATGGTTTATATTAATGACCGGAAGATAATTTATTAGTTATTAATCATTACAATCGTTAAGACTATATTAATTAATTAATAATAAATGAATTAATTAATTAATTACCAAAAAATTGTTTAACTTTCACATATTACAGTGAATTGTCTTTTGTCACAAAATGTCTTTTGTCACAAAAATCTTTCAATCCATCGAAAAATTCCATAACAAAATAAATTTTCTTACAAGTTTTCATAGATCGTTATATAAATAATTATCTCTATTTAATAACTCTTGTAAGCGTTTTTCGACTAATGAAATTCTACTCGTGATTGTCTCAATAAATGAAATTGTCGCTATCTTTTCGTCGGTAAATTTAAACGACAGACCCCATTACAACGCAAACTTATAATTTATAAAAATGTCCACCAGCCGCTCATAGAAATATGTACGTTGAATATTAAAAAACCTATTTTGAGTGATAAAAACAACCAAACAAAGCTTGAACGTAGTAAAGAATGTTGTAATCATGTTACATGAATTATAGATATTAACTACTGCTTACCGCTATGTGGTTTTTAGAAGAGCGGAATAAACAGAAATTGAAATTTTAAATTAATTTTGTTGAAAATTTGAACATGTTAAATTTATTACAAATAATTTAAATTTGGTTTTTTTGACGAAATTTTGTACAGCGATACCGTCAATAAAAAACCTGAAATACTTATTTAAACAATGTAAAATAACAGGGAAATATGAATAAAAACCATTTATTCAATGATTTCTGAAGTTTCGCACATTGAGAGATGGAGAATCTTGAGCTCAACTTTCGAAGGAACTCTTCCCTACTTAGGCATTGTCTTTCATAACAAACCTGAACAGAAATTTACCGGGAATTCAAATTTTATGCATCTATCATATTTAAATTTTTTTGATCCAGCAAAAAAACAACAAACATTTTATAATACAAATAATTTTGCTATTTATTTATATTTATTCCTAAGTAGTTCTCTGTCAGCACATATAGCGCGTGTGAATATGATTACATGCAACTATTCTCTCCCGGACGCGTTGATCCATTCAACTACCTCCTCAATTTAATGAAAACTAATCTACAAGTATTTTTACCAATCATTTTGCTACATTATTTTAATAGTGCCAGATTAAATATACCAATTTTTGTCAATTTGCTCTCAATGTTTCAAGGTTCATTAAATAAACATAAACTTTATAATCATAATAATAATAATCATAATAATCATAATAATGTCATTTTATATAGCGCCACGGCAAGCGACTGAGGTGCATCATCATTATTACAACAAACACACGGTGCACGAATGCACGTGGACCAACGCATCACACACTTTTGCATGTGATAGGCGGAGATCTTTTTGCCTTCGAACCCGGACACTGCATCAACGACGCCGGGCACCTTAGCCATTACGCCATCGTGCCGCCCATTGTTATACTATACCTTATTAAATCATTTGAAAAAAAAACACACAAACCGTTTTTCCTTTGCACTTCGTCCCATCTCTGACATACGACAAATGCTTGCTTCCTGCTTTCAGAATGTATAACGCGCAAACGCAGGTATTTCCATGTTGTTTAAAATTGTGCTGGCTCAATAAGTGAGAATGGCTAACTTTGCACAATAATCTTCCACAATATTTATTTCTGTTGAAATGTTTCCATCAATTGTCCGTACTTTTATCAATTTGCGATTCATAATTACAAAAAATAATGAAGTTGTAAAAATTTAACAGCTTGTTTAAGAAAGCAAGAAGAGCTACTGCCCTGGGGCTTTCATGAAAGAGATTCCGCAAAAATGTAACTTTGTAATTTTAATACATTTTTCCATTTGTTAAAACAGTGTTTTCAATACCAAATTTTGGAATAAGCAAAAAAGATGTTTCGTTATCATTTGCACAAATTTGAAACGCATTATCTGTTGATCTGAAGAGATTTTGTATTATGACAAATTTACCAAAAGCGTCTAAAACACCATATGTTCAATAATCTCGAGCGAGGCAAGCACTTCTGACATTATTTTTCAAATGTAAGGCTCCGCAAATTTTACCAAAAATTGCAACTCAATATATAACACAGTAAATTACAATAAAATACAATGCCAAAATTTTAATTACTGCGTAACATTTAGATAATTGGATTAATTAGGGAACTCCGCTAAATATTGGATGCCTCCTCTTTTAACTTGCCCTAGGGCATCTAATCTATACAAGTTCGGTCAGATTTAATGCGAGGTTTACATTTATTGACAATTTTGCTTCCAGGCTAACACAGAAGTTATTAGCTGTTATTACAAAATATTCTTTCTTAGGCCTGATGGTGGCCTGCAGTTAACTTGCTTTAAACATCTCTAAATAATTTCCACAGTTTGGATGAGTAACAAAAGATAGTAAGTTGAAATTTACATACTGAGAAACGCAGGGGTAAACTGTTCCGGTTGGTCCATCGTAGTCACAGTTGAAGCAGGTGTTATCTAACAATTTGTTCTGATTGTAGCATTGCAGACTGGCTGAAACTGTTTTATTGTCGTTCCATAATTGCGAACACTGTTCATCCCTTATTGGACACTTTCCGTTCATGCAGAAGTTATTCTCCTGCACCATTTTGTGAGAAATGTAAAAGATGACTTACTATACCACATGTATAGAATAACACATATAGGAAATACCTTATTACTTTTACATATACCATAAAAAGTGTTCTGTAATAATTTTAAAACCTTTCACCAAACAACTTTTTATTCAATTGCTAGAAGTTTAAATTTTTTGGCATTATACTTTCTTCTAAAGCATTATTGGCATTATATTTTTTCCTTTCGTTTTTTCATACATTCTATGTATAAAGATCGTAGCGTATTTATTTAACAAAGTACTCACTAAACACATTGTTCCATCTTGTTTGTGAACATCTTTGCAGAGATTTGAACTTCCATCGCACCTATCTTCTATATCGCAGTCATCCTCTATAGCCCTACAGATCTTTTCAACTGACTTTAACTGAAAAATATTATATATCACACTCAGTAATTCAGTAATTAGCTATCTACACCTGTATGAATCTAGTTAATTATTTTTTCATTTTTGAATTTTCGTCTTTTTATTAGATTGAGATAAAAATAATTTATTTTCCAAAACCTTGCATGTATTTAAATCACAGCACAACCCAGTGGCGCACTGAGACCCGGAAGTGAACTTGCAGATTTCTTCATTGCAGCATTTCGTAGCACAAATCTGTTATAGGGATAAATCAAATTGTTTAGTCATGCTCCATATGTAACGTATGAGAAACTCTAAGGTTTGAGGTTAATAAAAATTCAACAATTAAAAATAAAGATCATCGCAACCCTAAATTAATCAAACCATGGTTTTGATTCAACAAATTTGAAAATTGTAAATAATTTTTTCTGTTGTGCAATTGTGTAAGACTTTTCTTTTTTATGTCATACGGATGAAACGTGCTGACACTTTATTGTCGGTCATTTGATTAGTTTAAGACCGAAAACGCGCTGATGAAAACAGTCGAATGGAAAATAGTTACTTCTTCTGGATATTCACCGCAGTCACAATCTTCGCCGTCATCAACGAGTCCGTTGCCACAGTGAGTGGACGTCAGATCAAAAGGAGCATTCTTATTGTAGAGGCACTGATGCAGTTGTTTGGTCTCTTCTAACGTCTCCAACGAGCAACTGGCCCAACTGTAAACATCCTGATCAACAGTTCTGTAAATAAATTTTTTTAAAACATCTTCTTGCTATTAATAAGAAATTTTAAATTTAAATCTACTAATATTACGAAAAGATTTAAAAGTTGAATATTTTTTCTGGAATTTTTTTCACCGAATTGGTGAACCGTTAAATGTTCATAAATAATGTTTATTTTGCCAACTAATTGCATTTTTCGTAATAATATATTTCTGGTAAGCTTATTGACTTTTTATTATTTTTGAATCGAACAGTTTAATCCAAATTTTGGAAAATATCGTCGTGTTCTTAACTCAAATTCAATCAAGCTATTCAGACTGTTTATGCATTGGGGTTTTTTTCTGAATTACTCAAAAATAAACTTTATTCAACGAACTGAGCAACATTTGAAGATATCGAATATTTCGAGGAAGTAAAACTATCCTGTCATTTATCACTTACATATAGTGTCTTGCTGTTTGCATGTGATATTATTGACAAATTTAAAAAATACAAAATCATCTTTGAGTCAAATCATTTGTCTAAACTTTTTTTTTTACAAAAATTTGATATTTTAAAATTACAGGTTTATCTACTTTAGATTATAGAATGAGTTAGAAGTGCTCTAGAATTTACGTGAGTAGTACTTAGGAGTCTAGATAACCGTGAAAAAGTTTAAAATTCCATCTTTGCATTTTTAAAAAAGATACATTTGAATTATTTCTAAAATAAATATTTTTCATAACCGAGTAGAAAATCTTACATAAAATTAACAAAAGTGTATTAGTAATTTTTGAGTGAAAACATACGAAGACTTGCTGTCCATAACGCACGGCTGTGGGTCACACACGCAACCGAAGACGTCTTCCACGTGTTCCATGCCGAATATATGGCCCAACTCGTGCGCTACCGTTATCACGCTGTTGAAAAATTCACCTTTGTCCTTTAAGTTCAGTAATTTGAATTCTTGTTAAAGTGAACAAATGAAGTTATTTAATTACATCCAATTGAGTTCAGTAATTTGAATTTTTGTTAGTTATTCAATCCAAGTTATTTTAACACACTATTTATTTATTCAGTAAATGGAAGATAAATTGGATAGATGTCTATAAATATATATAAATGTGTTAAAAATGTTTTGAAATGGCTTAGTTGTTTAAAATATGGCTAATAAGCTAATTGTGGACAAACATTTATATTATTTTGGTCAATGTAGATATTGATGTAAGAGGATCAAGTAAAACTACGTTGCGTTCTGTTTAGAAAAAATGCATCTATTGTATGGTCTTCCTGACTGATTCGAAAGATTGAATGCATTGGAAAAAAAAACAAAAAAGACATTGAAAAAATTTTCTGAATGCAGTGGTATAGATAGTGGAGACAGACTTGAAGTATTTGAACCATCATCCGACGATAAGATTTCTTAACAAGAGAAAATTTTATGTTTACTTTATGTCCAACTGAAAAATTCGACTAGTTAATAGTGTTAGCATTCGATGACATTACTTTTCATAAATTTAATTAAAGATCTATTATGCTTTATCGTGTATTTTGATTTATAGAGTTATTTTAAAGTATTTGATTTTCACATATCCAGTTGATTACAAATTATTATCACCTTTAATCTCTTCTATTGTTACTAAAATCATTAATAATATCATTTTTTAGCCTGTTTTTGTGAAATAATGTGTTTATTTTTATTCATACAATACTTCATGGGAAAATATCATGAAGTTTTACCATAACCCAGAGAGCAGAACCATATGTACACATTGATTTCTGATCTGCGAGACCCAACATTCCGTCAGAAAAAGGTTTTTTACTATTAAAAATTAAGTTTAAAAAACATTTATTTGCATAAAATTTTCTAAATTGTTTTAAAAATTTCATTTAAATTAATAAATAGAGCTCACACAATCAGCATAGAGGTGTCGAGCTCTGGAGCGTTAATTAAAACACGTTTCCTGTTGTAGCGAGACCAGTATGAAAATAAATCATAACCTGTCCAGCTTCGCTTCCATTTCAGTTTTGGGACTTGCCAAATTTCGATTCCCACAGCAGTCAAAATTATGTCCACTCTTTGGTAGTACTAAAAATAGTGAGAAATTTTTTACAAGGCCTGATTTATGGAAGGGCAAGAAACACGCCTGAAACCTTTACAAAAAGTTTCTATAACGAAGACAAATAACGACAGGTCAGCAACTATTCAGTTGTTTTTTTCAAAAAAGTGTTATTACTTGCCATAGAAAATATTATTGATCCATTTGCTAACGAGGTAATCTTAACTTTAATAAATTATATTTGACTTTAAAAATTACTAAACATTTTAAAATAATTTATTTGCGGCCAAGCGCTTTTGAAAAAATTAACGAAAACACTTTTTTCTATTCTGAATATAGTTAGGAAGCTCGGTCGCTTTGCCAGAGCTTCCATATTATTTAATTCGGCCTTGGTTTTTACAAGAAGTCATTATAATAAATTTTTATAAAAACTTTTATTTGAGCCTGAAAAAACAAACAAACCAGAGTGGCTGCATTAAAGTAAGCGAGCACATCTTCTGCTATCACCTCTGTAGTCTTATTGGAAAACTTGTACTGTTTTCAGTCAAATTATGTTATTGTAAACAGTAAAGCTAAAACAAATTAAATCTGATAACAAATATAAATAAAGAATTAAAAAATTGTTTAAAGATATCAACTAAACGGCAACAAAACAACGCTCTGGTTTGCAAAATAAAACGCTGGAGAGAGAAGATGTTATCCAATGAACCGGCACAAATATGAAATTACACCCACTTGAAGGACTTGCAATTTAATCATTGATGAAGTTTGCAACTCAAAGTAGATAAGAATGAAAAAATATTTTTTAAATTAATCGATAAATTTTAATCCTTATATATAATTTTTAAAACAAAAAGATTAATTTTTTATGCTTTAATTTAATGGGCATTATTTAAATAAAAACACTAAATGTAAAATGAAACACGCATGCTAACCACTGTGTAGTCAACGGAGATGTGCACTTTGAGAATCCTGACTATCCTATCAAGAGTGACTGTTAAATTCTTTCGAATGAGCTGTATAATTACAAAATATTTCATTAGTTTTCATTTATTTTCACAAAAAAACAAAAAACTTGCTTTTTTCACATTTTTTGTGCGACTACTTCTGTTCTTGAACCTGCTAAGTACTCCTGCAGTTAAAAACATTCAACTAAGCATATTAATTATTTCCTTAATTTTAAAACAATATTATTTGAAGTGCAGCCTAAAAAATTGGTTATTGTCGAAAATTTTAATAGACCAATTATTAGAACTTTATATAAATTTGTTAGTTTTTAAATTCTGATTTAATACAAATTATATAAATTCAAGACTATTATATAAAGCCGTTCTTTTTATTTCTGTAAAGTAATTTGGTTTCTGACGTAGAAGGAGTTTCGTGTTGCGCATAAATTTAATAAAGGAAATAACGCCAATCAAAGTTTTGTAGGTTAGTATCAATAGAAAAGGAGTGGACTGGAACAGGATGAACTGTATACCCACCGCAAGCAGCCAACTTAGCTCATTCATGGCCACGATTGGGTGGATGCCTTGAAAAAGCAACTTGCGCAACGGGCCCTATATTACACAATCGAAATGAAATTTGAACTGAAATAAAATTATGTGTTGTTATATAACTCAACTGCCAAATATGCAAACAAATTGTTAAATAAATTAACCGCAGTGAAATTTCTGTTTGGCGGGCCTCTGAATGACGACTCTATCCATCGATCTTTCGTGCTCTGATCTCACCTCAAAAACTAAATTCTTTTTGAAGTAAAACCCGCTGAAATGAATTCCCATCGGTGAAATTTTTCAATGATCGCCTTTCACGCTAAACCTCAAAAAATTTATATTACTTAATGTCCGAGCACAATGACATGACTGCTGTTTGTGAGTGGATTCCATCAACGTTTCCATGATAATGACAGTTGAATTTCTTTTGGAGAATAAAAATTTTATAAAATTTATTGTCTATTTATTATATTTGAATTTATATAAAATGAATTATTACTATAATAAAAAAAAATTAAAAGTCATCTTGGGTTTCAAATGTGAATGGTTTCGTGGCTAATCTAAACTGATGTTTCAGTGAGATTAGTACATTGAGATTTTTTTTCAATTTTATTACTAACGTTTTTTCGTATCTCTATGCGTTTTTCATATTCGCCGACGGTTTTAATTGCGAAATCACTTGAAAATAAATACCTTTAAAAATAAAGTAAAATGGGTTCGATACTCATGAAATGGAAATACAAATCTGTAAGTAACCTGTTCAAACGCAATGATACCTCAAACTGTTTCGTGTTGTTGCTTACGAAATGAATTTTTAGGAAAGAATGTTCCTACAAATATTTTTCATTTGATGTTAAATCTATCAATTTTTCAATTATAAATTAGTTCTTCATTGTGTGAATGTAAATTTTTTAGCTATGCTTTTTTGATATGATAAGAAATTAGAAATTTAACCATTATTTCATAATGTATTGGATACAATAAATTGGTAAATTTACTGTAGAATTACTGTAAAATTATGTTATTGCTTGCCAACTATCAATATGTCAGGACTAATTTGAATTTAAAAATTATTATACTAAATCGTTATATCGTTACTTGTTTGTTGATGTTATCAGGACTGATTGGCTTATTCGTTTCATCGTAATATTGTAAACTGAAAATCTCTTCTTGATTATACGCTTCTGTAATTTTAAATAAGTCGTTTGGTACATATTAGTTATTCAAAATTGATGTTAGTGAAATTAAATTACTTGCAAATTGCAAATAAAATAAAATTAAAGAATATGTTTGTAGCATGTTTTTGTTTATTTATTTTGTTTATTAAATTTACGTGATTCATCACTTAAAAGAAATATTATAGTTTTATGAAACACACTTCAAAGAAAAATATTGAAAAAAACTTTTGAATAAATTATCTGAAAATAAATTTGCGTATTCTTAGTTGGCTATTGACGTAAAAGTCGTATTGAGCTTTTTGAACGATGCCCACTCTTCTGAAATGATCGGTTCGCCAGTTGAAAAATATTCTTGACAAAAATTTACTGGCTATGTAAAAGCAAAAGTATCTTTTAAAGGAACGTTGCAATTAAAATGATCACACATCAATTATAAAATGTGGGCATTTTTAAGATTTCGCAGAAATGTTCTTTTTTCCACATGGTTCGAGATACTGCTTCCATCTTGTTTTTGAACGCTGAAGCGCAAACTTCAATAAGTTTTGCTGGTAACACTGCATATATAGATGTTTTTTTAATGTAATTTGAGTTATTTATCTTTTTTAAGCTAATGTTATCATTTAAACTTTCGACATAACTTAAAAATATAAATGTTAAGATTACTTACATAGATTCAATTTTGTTAAATTTAAAAATAAAACTTCATATCTTTCTATGCGTCCGGTTAAATTAAAAAACAAAACAACAAAATAAAAATAATTTTATTCTTAGCAATATTCGCCAGAGAATATTTTTACTAGTGATCATTTATCCGTTAATTTCGATAGAAACTTATCAATTAAAAAAAAACAGTTACTTCAGATTCAACAAATTAGAAGAATTTTACTTGATGTATCAAGACGAAACCAGTAAGCAAATTAATCCTGACAACATCCGAGGAAATTTGATTGATTACTTTAATTTAAAATTACAACTTTCTTTCAATGAGGGTGTAAATTTTTGAAAAAAATTAAGTAATATGTGAGTCTAAAAACATTTTTCCATTTTTATGCTGGCTAATAGAAAAAACTATTAAAAGTTTGCGCACTTTGTGTACCTTTGTAAAAATAATTGACTACCCAAATTATTATAATTCGCAAATATTTTCAACATAGTTTGGCCAACTTTACAATACATATTAATTTCCTAAATAATAATAATAATAACGATGTTTAAACTGGTTCAGTAGATAAGCATCTGTGTAAGAACCACTACATAATAATTGTCCTAGTATCCTAGCTCTCTTAGTATGATTTAAAGATTGAAGATTGAATCCACTGAATCAATTTCATCTCTCATCTCGTTCCTGTTGTTTGCCAGCTTTAATGAAAAATAATTTTAAAAAAAAATAACATTTTTATATTCTACTCAAATATATCTATTTAATTAATATGACTATTTGATTATGGTTCATCACAAGCGGTGCTGACGTAAACACCTATTACAGTTGGGCCAGCCGTTCGTTGGAGATGTTTGAAGACATCAAACATCTTCACCAGTGTCTCTACAACAAAAATGCACCATTCCAACTGCTACCTACCAAATGTGGCAATAGATTGGTTGACGAGGGAGAAGATTGTGACTGCGGTAAATTTCCTGATGACGTAGTTCATTGGCGTCTACCCAAATATTTCTTATGTCATTTTCAAATATTATCGCAATAAGATGCCGAAAAATGACAAATAAGTACTTTTAGAAACTAACACTCTTATCTCACTTTTGTGATAATTTTTTATTCTGAAAATTATCAAGTTACAATCTTTGTAATACTAATTTATTTTATCACCTAAAATATATTTCAAAATATTTTTGACAGGATAATTTTAATTTTAAAAATGATCTTTTTTAAATCTGTTTTCAACGATATGCAATCTGAGACGGATTTGCTCTAAAAAATGTAGAGACGTAAAACTTCGCAAGTTTAAGCCTGGATCGGAATGTGCTGCTGGGTTATGTCGAGGCCTGCAAGGTTTCATTTGAAGAACAGACATCTTTGAGTATATTTCCAATGAAAATATATTATTTTATACTAAAACTTAAACAAAAATAAACGTTTCACTGTAAACTATCAAGGAGCTAGAAAGAAAAATAATAAATATTGATTATAGAATGTTTGGCAACTTAAACTGATTGATGAATAACTTTGTTTTTTAAACCAAATAAAATCAGCTGGAGATGTCTGTAGGTCAAAGAAATATGAGTGCGACGAAGAAGATATACTTGAAGAAATCATCATCTCCGGCAATAAGAAACCTTTCAAAGTCTCTACAGAATAAACGACGGCGTAGCATTGGACAGAGAAACCTGGGCAATAGCCTGGGTAGATTGTAAACCAGCATCTGCCAACATATGACTATTACAAGCATATGTTCAGCAACGACAGCAAATTCTAACAATCAGTTGTAAAGAGGACCACCACCCAACGGTCTCCTACTGTTAATATCAATTGGAAAGTTTATTACACGTGCCAATAATCGATCGTTTGAATAATGAGTGAGCTACATCAATTAAGTTGGCTAATCACTTTCAATCTAAACGATCACAACAAAGATTGATTAACGAAAAGTGATAACTAATTTTCAGACTGTACTTGGTGTTTCCCAAGTGTCACAAAGAAAATGTTGTCGGTATGCACAATGCACAATGATTAAACTGTTTAGCAGTTCTTTTGTTTTGGTATTGCGGTGGATAATTGAAGCTCAAATTGTTTTTGTATTTGTTTTGTTTGCATAATGGATGTGTGATTTTTAAACCTGATTGAGAAAAATCAATTTATTCCAAAAAAAAGCTAAAAATGTATTTAGCTTCCAAATTACTTTTGAAATGTCAATTAAAGAATTTTAAATCATGTGTTGTTTGTAAACTATTTGCAACACGAGCTCACTTCAAGCATATGTTCCTCCAGCAGCAGCAAATTCTAACAATCAGTTGTAAAGAGAACCACCGCCCAACGGTTTCCCACTGTTAATTTCGATTAGAAAGTTTATTACACGTGCCAATAATCGATCGTTTGAATGTTGAGCAACATCAATTAAAATGACTAATCATTTTCAATCTAGACTATCACAAGATTATTAATTGAACAATGAACTTTCTAACAAATACGTTGTTGGTTCCAGGCCGTCAACTACTATATAAGCTGCAAATGTTTCGTTAGTACCTGAACATTTTCAAGTTGAACTGGTTTTAACATCTGCTTGCAAACATTATCATAGTTTAAAATTACAAGAGCGTTTCATAGAAGTGAATAAAAATGGCAAGACGAGTATCATTCCTGTTGTTCAACGAGGTGGATCAGAGTTACCAGGTTTATAGCAACGTCTCTGACGGAGGACTTCCAATCAAATTTGTTGAAACAGTTACTGAACCATCAACTGACGCAACACAAAGCGTGAAACGAAAGTCAATATTGAAAGAATCAAGAAGATCAGTTGAACGCACTGAGCCAGTGAATTCCGAATATGATACGACGAACAACGAAAAATACATTCATCCTTCCAACAATTGTTCTACGTCAAATAATACAAAAGAGGCATTGCATTCATTATGCTGCTGCTGTTTATACAGAGAATGTAAAACCCTCGAGAACACGAGCAACAGCCAGCAGGAACGTACGACAACAAACAAAACATCTTCATCGAAACGTCTGTCCAACATCATCAACAAAAGAAGAAACAGCATCAACCATTCACTACTGAGATGCTTCCAAGTTGTCACAAACGATGGAAGTGAGGACAGCGATGATGGCATTGAGGAAATAACATTCCCATCTTATGAAACTAGTTGTTCATCGAGCTCTTCAGCTGACACCATTGTAACATCACTTGCGAGCTGTTCTTTTATAAATGCAGAATTATTTGAAAATATCAAGTACATAGACGACGAAGACAATGAAAATGTTCAAAGTTGTACTGAGCCAACTTTTGAAATCCTCTCAACAGGCAGTTACTCAGTGGATCATGGCATCGACCTCACAAGCGACACCACACCACAACAGACCACTCCATCGTCACTCGACGCATCCACAAGCAATTTGAGCAACTATTTCAGCGATGCTTCCAACGCATCTACACTTTCTTCAGCCACCTTTCCAAGCAACAACACCTCGGAAATTTTTCCAACCATCAACTGCCTGAACTTGAAAGAAGGTTGTTACGAAGTTACTTGCGATCCATCTGGTTGTTCAGTTGAGGTCATCTGCACGTCTCATGAGTTGCATTTCAAATGTCCTTGCTGTTCAGCTGTTAAAACAATGCAACCTGGACTAAATTATTACTACTTGTTGAAGCACATCTTCGACGAAGACCATCCTCATAATATCATGCAACAACTCAAGAACTGCATCTGTTCATCAGTTGAGGCTGACAAACTGGAGAACTACGAAACAACGAGAACGAAAAATTCTCTGCCTAGAAGAGTGGCAAAATCTCTTGTTGATCGATTGAGACGTTTGAAGCGACAGAATGGTTCTAATGCTGAAACTTCACGAAAGCAATGCGTCTTGTGAATATTTTATTAATCTGTTGCTGTTTGTAATTGTTTTATTTTATTTGTTTTACTTTTTGTAAACACTTACTATCTTTTTTACTCAATAAATTGTACATAATAAAATGTATATAGTAATAAGATTTTTAATAAAAATACAAAATAATATTGCTAAAACTTAGTTCAATAATTTTGCGGAGGTTTGAATCAATAGGTTTGTAAAAATTTTTAAAATTAATGATGGTCCATTACATCAAATACAAAAAAAAACTTTTTTCCATATTAGTTGCTCGGTCCCCGACTTTGGAATAAATTTAAAAAAGAACAACCTAATCTGCAATGTTATATTTTTTTACATATTTAAAAAGATTTTGAAACTATTCATAAAAGAATCTAATTTGTTCTAATATTTTTTAAATTATGATTAGCACTTTATTTATATATTAAAATGTTGAATTATTAAAATTTTTTACAGATTTACTGTACTCTTTCTGTTTAAAATTAAAAACATTTAAATAAACTCTTTTGAAAGGTGATCGAGTTAACATCCTAACAATTGTTCCCATTAATTTGAAATTGTGGAATAGCCATGAATGGATAAGTTAGTTAGTTATTCCGATTTGTTAGTCGGAGAATGGAGAAAGAAATTAATATCAATCTGTGTGATATCATTCTGCGTGGTTGCCAATAAAAAATAATAAATAGCAAATAAAAGAAGACGAATCAAAAAGCTTACGACTTCTTTGTTTCATTTCGTTAACTTCACATTTTTTCATCAATTGCGATGTTATCCGCAAATTACCAGCATAAGAGAAAGCAAATTACTACATCGGACTTAACAAAATGATTCAATAAACTATAACGTATTATCGGTTTGGTGAACATTTTAATAATTGCAATAGAGAACGCCTTGGTGTGTATTGTGCACCCAAAGTTCCAGTTGAGTTTCTATCTATCTATCTATCTATCTATCTATCGATCGATCTATCTATCTATCTATCGATCGATCGATCTATCTATCTATCTGTCTGTCTGCCTGCCTGCCTGCCTGCCTGCCTGCCTGCCTGCCTGCCTGCCTGCCTGCCTGCCTGCCTGCCTGCCTGCCTGCCTGCCTGCCTGCCTGCCTGCCTGCCTGCCTGCCTGCCTGCCTGCCTGCCTGCCTGCCTGCCTGCCTGCCTGCCTGCCTGCCTGCCTGCCTGCCTGCCTGCCTGCCTGCCTGCCTGCCTGCCTGCCTGCCTGCCTGCCTGCCTGCCTGCCTGCCTGCCTGCCTGCCTGCCTGCCTGCCTGCCTGCCTGCCTGCCTGCCTGCCTGCCTGCCTGCCTGCCTGCCTGCCTGCCTGCCTGCCTGCCTGCCTGCCTGCCTGCCTTTATTAAAGATGTTTTAAGTACTGTGCACGGGTTTGAAACCAGGTTAAATAACAGGTAGCAAGAAGTTAGAGTTTAAATAAATAGATAATTGATTATAAAATATTTTTTCTATTACCTTAGATATAAAAAAATATTACTAGCGAGTCTATAATTAGATAAAGAGACAGGATCTACAGATGAGTTTTTGAGGATCGGTATATCAACATATTTCTTATGCGAATTAGGAAATTTAAAAGTAAAACTCATCAGAATAATTCTTAAAAAACGCATTATTACAATGTATGGATATAAAAACATTTTAAGTTTATTAATATTTATAATACGCTACACAATTAGTAATTGGTTGTGCACCTGATGTTACACTAAAATATTAAAAAATAATAGAGGCTTTTTAAAAGAAACAAACGTTTCATTTTATCGCAATTTAGTCAGTCGTGGAACAAAGAAAAAATTTGAAAAAAAAAATTTGGGATGAAATATTTTTAAAGTTTTCCACGATTAAAATAATGAAATAACCGATTTCTTAATAATGCTCATATCTTCTCGTTACTTTAAAAATTTATATTGAAAAAAAATTTTATTCTAATAGTTAGTATCCTTTCATTTAATGGTTTGGAAGACGATCAGCCGTTAATGGTAAATGTTATGGTGAAGGAAAACAACATTTAGCTAAAATTTTGAGAAAGATCCAACAATCGATATGGCATCCGTTGAAATCAAGTGCAAAGATTCAGGAAACTTTGTTAATATAAATTCAACCCATTATACAGAGGGTTTTTTAAAAAGACACAGCACCCTACACTGTATGTATTCAAATGCTATTTCTTTAGATAACAAACTGAATGAATTCAGAGTTGTTAAGACGTCTAATCCATCGGTAATACGTATAAGTGAAACGTTGTTTAAAGATAGCTCAATTGTTAATATAAAGAACTTTAATGTTTATAGAAAAGATAGAAATGATGGGTGTAGTGGTGGCGGAGTGTGTCTGCTTATCAATTCATCTGTCAATTCTTATGAAATCAATGATGCTGCTTTCAACAGAGCAAAATTGAACTAGTATGGGCAGTTATTTGTCTTGATCATGATAAATATTTGGTTGGGTGTATTTTTAGACCAGATTATTTTTTGGATGTGATTGATCTAGCAGTTGTCTTCAAACAAGCTGGGTATTACGTTGACAATAGGGGTTTTAGAGATGTTTTGATAATGGGAGTGTTTAATTTCTTATTAATATTAATGTATTACATAACATCATTTACGTCACTTGTCTTTTGCATTTTTCTATTGAGTGTTTAATCATTCTTTTAGTTTAACAAATTTTTCGTAGTTGCTTTATTAATAATACCTGTAAGAAACGACCGGTGATGGCTTCGATTCGACGTCAATTGTTACGCTGTTCTAGATTGGTTAGTTGCATTGAAAAAGGTTAGTTAAAACGGGCATGATAATTTGTTTTTGTTAGGCAGCATTTGATTTAAAATGTCAATCTGTTTAATAGTTTGGTAATTCTTTTGCTAACGTAAAATCAAATAACATTGCTACTTTCATTGCAAGATAACAACAAGCTGAAGTTGAGGCTAAGTGTACGATATATAAAGTTTTGCCTTTCCATTAGCTTATTTTTACATAATCATCATAAATAGCAACAGAACTTGTTCAGAAAAAATTTAATATTTAAAACACTATTTAAAATTGTTGTAAAAGAATCTATATATTCAACATGGGAATTCCAAAAGGTTGCTGAAATAACATTTGGTTAACTCATAACAGAAAAAAACGAGTTACGTAACAATATTTATGAATGATTGTCCCATTACAGCTATTAAAAAAGGCATCTCGTATATTTTGAAATAATCTATTAAGATAAAAAAAATTGCAAAACAGTTGAGTTGTTGCTACGCTAATACACTTGTGAAAACAAAAATCTGAAAAAGCATATAGACAGGTAAAAAATAAAGTTGCTAAATAAGTCGCGAATATTTGAACATTGAGAGATTCTGGTAGATTCGGCCAGTTTCATCAAAAATTCTTGCCTGCTAATGCACTGTCTTTTAAAACAAACCTTGAGTATTATTTATAGGAATAAATTATTATTGTAAATGTTCAAATGAAATTCAGTATATATAACGCAGTTTATCAATCAAATGTCAAATTTATTAAAACTTTTGTATTCTCTGTAAAAAAGGTAGCTATAATTTTTTTAAACATGAAAATGAAGAGCGTTGGGTTTGAAGAGGCCATATTATAGTCGAATGTTTACGTTAGTTCAAATAATTCAAGTTTGCAATACGAACAAACAAATCAATCGTTAACTACAGCAACTGTATTTCGATGATGAGCAATTAATGAATCATTTTTTAAAACTTCAAAAGACTGTTGAGGTCGATAATTTTAAACATTTTTCCCAAAAACTATGCGTCAGCTGATTAACTGTTTCATATAAGCAACAATGAACAAATAAGATCAAACCTTATTTTCTTCGCACTTTGTACCATCTCTGACGTACGACAAATGTTCACTCCCTTTTCTTAGCTTAAATTTTGGGCAAACGCAGGATAAGCCAGTCTTTGTGAAACTAAATTTACTTAGTTGACTGGATTGGTTAAGAGCGCACAATAATCGTCCGCAGTACATGTCCCTTCAAAATAAAATAATTTTATTTTTTTATAACAAAAACCATAAAAACCTAATTTTTCAAATGTGTTAGCCATAAAATTAGAAAACACTTAAATAGGTTTTACAATATTATTTAAAAAATGAATAATTTTTTTCTATGTGGTTTAAACTGAAATAGTTTTTAAATTTATGAATTTAAATTATGTCACGCTGGCATTTAACTGGCAGTAAACATAAAATTTCAACCACTTGCGTAAGCAGGAGAAGGTTTTCTTAGTCGGGGCATCGTAATCGCAGTTGTAACAGTTGTTGCTGAAGAGTGAGTTTCGCAGGTAGCACATCTTGCCGGCAGACAGAATGTTCTCGTCGAACCACAACTCCCCACATTGCCGGTCTCTATATTGACACTTGCCGTTGAAACAGAAATGTTCATTCTGTAATGATATGAGCATTTTAAAGAATAGTTAAATAGTGTGAGATTAAAATTTATTTGATTTCTGGATCGCACTTTTCGTCTAATTAAAAAATGAATCTGATCTGATCTCCTGCTGCTTAAGAAATAGTTTTTTTTGTATGAATTTTTATGATGTTAGTCCCAAGCAATGCGGATCTAGGAAAGTGAGAAGCATAGTCCCAAAAATAATTGGCGTATTAAGCGAGAAAACGGTCGCCAGAAAATTTCTTGGATCCTCGTCAAATATTTCAAAACATTTCAATATTTTTCAAATTTTGCCCTCCCCCATCAATGTTGTCCAGGTCTGTCGCCGCTTCAAACCGCCGTAGGAGTAATTAATTTTTTCTTTAATTTGAAATTATTTAATGAATAAACAAGTTTTCTTCATGCAGTTTTTGCTGGCAAAATGAATTTAACTCTACCACATCAACTTAAGAAACTATTTTTTGAGTTTGCGGTGCAATATATTTACTTTATGAACGAACTAAAAACCTATTGCTTGAGCAAAACATTTCCTCGTTATTCATCAACCAATACTGTAAATAAGAACAGAATGTTAACAACAATAACACAAATTAAAATAATATTAAGGTAACTTTTTAATTGAAAACACTTTAACCAAGTTATTGCAAATTTCGAGGTTGCATTAGTTTCAACGAAATATTCACCGAGCACATGGATCCATCCTGTCTATTAATATCCGGGCAGAGATTTGATTGCCCATCACATTTATCTTCAATATCGCACACGTCTTTCTGCGCTCTACAGACATCTCCAGCTGATATGACCTTTCAAATATTTTTACAACATCATTACATTTTACATGTAACAATCGATGTATGTATTTATATTCGGTCGTTTAAATAAACGGATTTAAAAAAATACCAAGTGAAATTAATCATATAAAAATGTACTAAATCTATCGTGCCACCTTGCAAGTGCTGAAATTACAACATAATCCAGTAGCACATTCGGATCCGGGCTTGAACTTGCAGGTTTTCTGGTCACAGCAATTCGTCGAGCAATACTGGTGGTGATTTTGAGAAAAACATTTTTCAACTCATTGACAAAGAAAAATTAATTGATTCCTTTAAATTGAGGAATTGTTCGAAACGTAAAAAAACAATAAACATATTTCTTAAACTGTTTCAACTAAGTAAAAATTTAATAAAACTCAATTTTGAACATTGTAATGTTAAACTTGCCAATTCCAAGATATATTTAATTAAATAAGTAACTCCGTTTATATCATTCACGCAATTAAATTTGAAATAATAAAATTTCAATATTAAAAGTCTAGTTGAGTTAATAATAAAATTATAAAATTATTACGCGATCCTGAAAATCACTGCAATCACAATCTTCTCCCTCATCAATCAGTCCATTCCCACACTTGGCAGCTATCTTCTCAAAAGGTGCCATCTTATTGAACAAGCACTGGTGCAAGTAGTATGTCTCTTCCAGCATCTTTAGCGAACAACTGGCCCACGTGTAACTTGCGTTCACCAGAGTATAACTTCACGTTAAACATTCGAGAAAATCAATTTTATCAATAAGGTAATATTTCAAAGAGAATAGAAAAGACATGCTGATTGAAGACAATTGTTTGAAAAACTAAATTTATCTTGATAGGAAATAAAAAACATATGCAAAAGTTGAAATGTTGCACTTGGATAATCAAATTTCTAAAGATTTTTATAAAATATCAAATATTTGAACACTATTTAAACAATCGATCTTCGTTTATAGTCCTTTTCAGTTTTGGGTTGAAATTTTGTGTTCCTGACATCAATTTCTGTCTCCGAGCATCTCGATCATTCGCGTCCAGTTTTCTGAGGTTTAGTGTGCCTTCAAGTCTTCATGTTTTGTCTGCATCCAAGACTTCTTCGGACGACCACATGGTCGGGTGGCAGGCACCTGATGATTGGTGACAGATTATCCTCCCATCTTTGCTTCGCTTGACATGGCCGAACCAACGTAGACGATGACGTCGACATACATTTGTATAGCGCACAATCCTGCATGGCTCAGAAGTTGATTTCTTAATGATATAGCCCCTCAGACCAGCATGATTATTTTTATATCCGCTCGCTAGAGTTGCCGCTCCAGTCTTGTTGCCATCGGCCACGCCTCTGCCTAACACATCAATGCGCAGCCTACCACAGAATTGTACAGCTCTGAGAGGAATGAAACTGGAATGCGCATCAGCACCGAGGCGAGCAGATGCCACCTGCACCATGCCGTCGTATACTTGCACGGACGGCGGCTGCCTCAGCTGCTCGGGAGCAATCCAGTGCTCTGAATTGCTTCCTACTCCAGCTTTGCAGACTGAGCTCGGCCAGTGACCAGTGACCACCCAAGGTTATCGCTTTTGTCTTATCAAGATTTACCCTGAAACTGTGATTGGCGAGCCAAATGTCATCTGAGCCTATTAACTTAGCTATTTCTTCCATCACTGTGATAAACAACACTGTTTAAATGGCAAACTTTTTAATGAGTCTTTACCATTTGTATTTTTGCGCTAAAACGTAATAAATAATTTTGTAATTAATAAATTATCATTTTTTCAAGTTGATTTTCAACAGCTATAGAAACAATTTTTTGAAATATTCACTTTAAATAAAAAAAAATTAAATGTAGGAAGCTCACTCGGCCTCCCCGTTCATGACGCACGGCTGAGGAATGCACTCGCAGTCGAAGACATCCTCCACGTGTAACATCCCGAAGATGTGACCCAGCTCGTGAGTGATAGTTATCGAGCTCATGAAGAATCCGTTCTCTAACTATCATTTGTTTATTGGTTTTTGCTAAATTGTACGATACCCTCATTCCATGATGGTTTTGAATATTTCAAAACAATTTTACCGTTATTTATCATTATATTTGCTAGTGTTTACATTTTTTTTAAATTTTTCTATTATAAAATCTAATATAAACAAATGAATTAAAAACAACTGACAACAAATACAGTTATTAAAGAATGAAAAATTGTAATTAGTGTTAGAAGCTGCAGAGTGGACTTCCACGTTACATCTTACAAATAAATTTTCACATGGGAACGTAAAAAGTATTTAGATTTTTTAGAAAAAAACAAAAATTTATTTGAGCTAAATATATTTTAATTTGTTTATTTGTTGTATGAACGAACAAAAATATAATATAATAATTGTAAACCACCGAAACAAAATAGATGGAGTTATAAGTGCACATAGTTTTTATATCCGAAAGACCAGCGATGTCGTCCGGAAACGATGCATTTCTGAAAAAAGATAATAAATTTTGTAGCATTACATCATCCGGACAAGACTTTAAGTTTGTCAGCACCATGTATAATAGAAAAACATAGTGATACCAACACAAGTAGCATCGAGGTGTCTAGTTCAGGGGCAGTAGGTAATATATATTTTGCGTTGTGCTTCTGCCACTCATCAAACAACTGTTTAGCCTTCCAGTTTGGTTTTATAATTATTTTTGGAGAAGTCCAGACTTCAAGAGCTACAGCGGTTATGAGGATGTCGACTCTACGATAGTACTGTTGTTGTAGAGTTTTATTGTGCAATGTATTACATAAAAGCTGATTAAGCAAGGGATCGATACAATTTTGTTTGGATAGATTTGTTGTTTGAAAAGTTTTTAGTGAAGAATATTTTTTTTGATTTATTACCAAAGATCAAAATTACAAACCACACTGGAGGCACTGATCAGAGCCAGTACGTAGTTCACCGTTTCATTCACGTCACTGCTCAAATGTTTGTACTGTTTCCAAATCAAATTTATAATTTTATTATTAATAAGTGAACATTTTTATTAATCCGCGGACCCAAAATCAGATTTCTTATCAATTTTGCACTTATTTTAAACGCTTAGTCTTACTTTCAATTTTGAAACAAATTTTGTAAATTTTTATGACTCGTCTTCTAATGTTTTCAACCACCGAAAATATTAAAAATGTATATAATTTTATATCAGAAGGTTCCATGCTGTCATATTATTATATATATATATATATATCAATATATGCATGCAGTAGAATTTCACCCGCAATTATGTCAAACGCACTACTTGAAAATTATCATCAACATTTCTGAATAATTCTTGCTGAAACTAATATTAAATAAGAGGACAACCTTAAACAACTTTTTAAAAACTTTCAATAAAAGATCCGAAGATCCAGTGAAACTGAGGTATTGAGCATTTCATTTAGAAAAATAGCAATAAGCTAAATGGAATTTAACAAATTTTCTCGCTATTTTATTATTGAGACGGGGTGCACACATCTTTAACTTAACCTAAAATATTGATCGTCTATTTATAATTTAGGCCATAAAATTGCGGAAAATATAAAACAAAAATAAAAGCAAGAATGGTTACCGAAAATATTTAAATAATTTACCCTTAAGCAGTGACAGATCTAGAAAACTTTTATAGGAGGGGACCAAAATTTGGAAGATGTTTAAATATTGACTGGGGGCAATAATTTGTGGTCGTGTGTGAACAAAATTTTGCCGGCAACTACTTTTTTGCTTATCACGTCAATTTTTGGTCGATTTTCTACAAAAAACGGTGATTTTTCAAATAAAACGCTTACATATTAAAACTTTGTATAACAATAGGCATACTGCTCACAACATGGCCCATGCCCTCCTGTGATCCATCACTGCCTTTGAGCATTTACTTCAGTAAAATTATGAAGAACTTTCAAGTTTGCAAAGAAAAAATTATTATCTTGAGTGTAGAGCAAATTTTAAACACAGAAAAGTTAGATAGGAGACTGAATTTAATCATTCGGCAAAGCAATTTGCTAAAAAATGCAAAATTGTTGTTATCAAATTAAAATCATTTTTAAAAACTAAAAAAAATTAAAAAAATAAAAACAAGAAAGTGAAATTGCTAATAATTAATTTCTATTGAAAATAAAATTTGAAAGTAACAAGTAATGTGATGTGACAAGCGCATATTAACCACAGTAAAGTCCACGACAATATATATCTTGACCATTCTAATTTCTCTGTCAAATGTGGCCGTGACATTTCTCTGAACGAGCTGATGATGTGCAAGACAAACTATATTGTGAAAAAGTAATTTTTTATATAACAAAAATTTCATCTACTTTTTTAATTTTGTCGACAGGTTTACTGCTGTTGCCGCTGCTGTTAATGCTGCTGGCTTCAAAGGTTTTACGCACTCCTGAGAATAAAAAATGTTTATTTAATTTTAAATAAATTTTCGATTTTTGTCACAACAAATTTAATTTTTTCAGTAATCACATTAACTCAAAATTAATTTCAAATTCAAAGTAAAGCAAAAGATATAGATACGCTAGAATAGACTAATTAAAATTATCCAAGAAATTAGGAGAACAAAAAATTTGAACGATTTTTCCAAGATATTTAAATGCTATCTTTTTTAGCAAGGGTGAACTAAAACCAGCTTTCTTCATAGTTGAAAAATTCTATTATATCATTATTTTCATTGACTGATTAGTGAATTCAATCCTACCGCAAAAAGAAGTTTTTTTCCTAAGAACTCTCTCAACGACAACTGCGCTCATCAGGCCCTCGTGCTTTGACTTTATTTCAAAAACATTATTTTCCTTTTGGTAAAAACCGCTAGAAATGTATTAAAGTTAATATTATTTATATTTCGTCACTATGAAATCATTTCCAATTGAAGACCTGACGCCAGAGCACAAGGAAATCGTAGCAACTTGTGAAGGAATGCCATCTACGTATCCTTCGTAATGACAATCTAGTTTCTTTGGAAAATTAAAAAAAAATCATAAACAACTTTACCAAAGTAAGATTGGGTTCATCCAATTTTGAAAATTAAAATTGTATTTCAAAATAAAAATGAATTCTTCAATCTAATTTTTTTTTCAAATTAATACACTTTTACACATAACTTGAACAAATTTCTTTATCTGTTTTGTATTAAAAATATTAGAAGAAATACAGTCTGACCTCTTTATAACAAACTTCTATACAACAACAATCTCTATATAACGAATTTTTTTATGTTCCTTAGAACTTTACATTTAAAACAGTCTCTATAAAACGAAAATAATTTGTCTGTAACAAACAAAATTTATAAAAGTTGAAAGAAATGTCCGCCCAGCAAACAATCTATATACTGATACGAGTAGCGTTTTTGCACACCTTACATTTCCTAGAGCCAAATAGTTTCTTGTTCTAGTATTCTAGTAATTTTTGCGTATTCCACCTTAATTAATTTCAATAAAATCGGAATCATCATTGCATGGAATAAAGAATAAATTTCATTTTAAGATATTATTTTTTGCAATTATACCATGTATTATTACTTTCTGTTATCAAAATAAACGAATGGGAGGTTGTTTTTCATAAATATATAGCATATAAAACCTTTTAAGCAATAAAGAATATAATACCGAACAAATTATATATAAAGAATTTATTTTATGAAGCCATCGAGTTTGTTGCACGAAGGTCCGACTTTATATCTACTGAACCCAAAGTATCTTAAAAACAGTATAGCATACTAGAACAATAACACAATGTTATTTGTTATTATTTACTTGCTAATCAACCCTCGATATTTTCATATCTAGTATGTCTCTTTCTTTTCAGATTAATAGTGTTGCTAGAAGTTCTTACTTTCATCTACGTATAATAAAAATACTTTTGCCTTTTCTTGACGATCTTACTCTTCTCTTTCTTGTTACTTCGTTAGTCCTATCTAGGATTGCTTATTGTAACTTGCTCTACTATGGTCTTCCTGATTCTACTATCTATCCTTTAAGTAAAACTCTGCTGCTCGTCTAGTTGCTCGTTCCCCTTTTTTTTCTCATATATCTCCATATCTTGTTCTCTTTCACTGGCTACCATTAAAATATAGAAAAATTTTTTAAATCTGCACATTTATGTATAAGTCTCAATCTAAATTATTTCCTAAGTACTTATCAGATATATTAATTGAACCTAAACGCCCCGATTTACGATGGTCTTCTTGTTTTCACTACTTAACTCGTGTTAAACACTCTTTTGTTAAATCTGCATTTGCTTCTTCTGACCCTTTTTTTTGGAACTCTCCACCTACTTCTCTGGCTACTTCTCCATCACTTACGAAGTTCAGAGCGAATCCCAAGACCCATTTGTTTGCTAAATTCATTAAGGAGCGCTTTGAACATCGAGGAAATAGCGTTTTATAAACTAATTGATTGATTTCATTATTTGACTATTATTTTGCATTGTAGTCACTTTTTGGCTTGTACAAACAATATATTTTTGCTGGCATGAAAGTACATCTGATTCTCAAGTTGGTTCTAAACACTTTTTGAACAAGAGTTTCATTGGCAAGATAGAAGTAGATTAAATTTTAATGCAACTTCTAAAAATGTAAGAGTCACACCGTTCGGTCATTGTGAGGCTCTCAAGACTTTTAAATATTTTACAAATTACTCAACTTTAAGGATGACCTTAATTGTTAAATAGATTTTCTACTTTGCAAAAAATAAAAATCATTGAACATTTTGTTCCGTTATTATAACGATGACCAATAACTGATTTCTATTATTAGATAGGTATAATCGGTTTTGAACAAAGTGTTTTTGCATCAATATGGCTAATACTTTAAAAATTTGAATAAAATTAACTCAAAGATATTAAAATACTACATTTTTGTTTACTTTCCTGCGTTTGTTATCTCCACCCACAACGTAAATTTCAAATCTGCTTGACAGCAAGTACCTTATTAATTAAAACATGTTAATAAATAACGCGTTTTTTTACAATATAAGTTTACTCACCTGTTCGAATGCAAAGTTACTTCAAATTTTACGGTGTTAAATTTCATGAATTGAATCTTCAAGTAGGGGTTACTCTGATGAAATTTTTGAATTTAACACTGAAGACGATTAAATTTTTAGGGAATAATTCATTTTGGTTGACGATCAATGAAAGAGTAATTTATTATTATAATCAATAGACACAGTGAAAAATTTTATTTTACAAAGAATTGCATTTCTAACAAAATATTTATTACAAATCTGTTGTTCACTATTTAAAATATATTTCATAATGGCTTGAAACCAGCAAGAAACAGTCAGCTCTCGAACAAGCCAAAATGGTAAATCTCCATTAATGCTCCTTAACTGAAACTCCAGTTTTCTTCCAGTTTAATCTTATTTAAAAACTAATGATGAACTCAGTTGACTTGTTTTGTTTCAGTTACTTTTTAACTTAATTAAAGACAACATTTTAGATGTTATATCGTGTCTGAAAACTTTACAAAATCATTGTCTGATATGTTCAATGAAAAGTTGGTTTCAGTGTTCGTGATTTCTTTAAGGAAATTTTTTTAAATGCTGTGAAAAATGATTACTTGTCCAATAATGTTGTTGGAGCTGAGTTGCTTGTTTGATCCATCATAATACAGTAAGTTGAATTCTTCTTGAGTAGTCAGATCTGTAGATATTTCATCAATAGGAGCAAACTTGTGAGTCAATTCTCATAAATTTGAATTAATAAATAATTATTAAAAAAACTTGTTACTTACTTGCAAAAAATTTTGAAACAATAATGCTAATTAGAATCGAAATGTTATTTGAAAACATATTTTTTTGTTTATGTTTTGTTTTCAATTTTGCGTTTTCCAATAACACAACGTCAAAAAAATTAAAATCTTGACTCAGTTTGGTGCTGCAAACCAATTCTACCTACCCATGCATGCAATACCAAATTTGAATCTAGGAACAGAATTTTCACCACAACACTTTTATTCAAGCACAAAAACAAAATTGAATGAAACTGTATTTTTCTCTAATGAAATTCAAATTTTTTAGATAACAGAACACTATATTAATTTTATAGTGAAAACAAATATTAACAACATTGAAAAAGCTCTTAATTCTAAAATGAAATCAAACAAAAAAAAATAAAAAAAAATCTTTCTTTCTTTCTTAAGTTTAACCACTTTTCAAGATGACTAAAAATAGGTATCGGCGACTTTACCATTACGCCGTTTGCGTAATATGTGTAATCAAATATTGAAGAGAGAAAATCTGCTGTAAATTTTTCGAATCAACTCTCTCGCAATAGTTCGACCGGATTTGAATAAAATTAGTTTCACAGTTGATTTTTAAAACCATTAATTAAAACAAAAAACTTGAAATATTCCGCCAAAAAATTTTTACAATATAAAATGAAACTGAACCATGTAAAAATCTGGCAAGTTTCACAGAATAGACTGAATCAAAAAATATTTAAAATTTTTCTATCTAAATAGTCGCCGAAATGTAAATATTTCGTAGACAAATAACCATCAATTAAAAACAAATCTTTTACGATCACGAAGTGTTGGTTTTATAGACAAACTAAAGTTATCTCCAATTTTTAAAACAGCTTTAAATTAGAAAAAAAATTCAAATATAAACACCAACATGTAGCTTCGTAACTTCATTACTTTATGAAACATGAAGTTTATGTTTTGCAACGTGCTTTCATGTGTTTGTTTTATTTACAGCATTGTTAATTTTATTTTTTTCCTTTTGTTGCTTTGCACAAACTCACAACTTAATATTTTTCTACATGAATTTTTGTTAAACTACTAAGAAATTTAGCCATTTTTATGCAATCTTTCTACGAATTTAATTTATGAAAATCATTTAATTTGCTAAAATATTCACAAAAAGTATTTGCATTATGGCTCGTATTAGAACTCATTAACTGAAAATACAAATACATAAACTGAAAAACTACTTTTGCCTCCACTCTTTAAACTCACCACAACTTCAATAAAATCATCGAATATGCTTACAACAACTATCTTACCATCCCATCATGTCTCGTAACACAAATAATTTGTGCAATGTATTCAAACTCATGAACCGTTAACAAACAAAACTTTTGATAACATTATTTTACTACAAAATTCATTTAATGAAAATAAACAATAGGTTTTTCAAATTTATATATTTAATTTATGATGCACTTGTATTTTTCTCTTGACTTGATTATCGGGCCAAGTTTCAGCGGTACTTTCAGCCAAGTTTTATGTATCTTCTGCACCTACCGCTGATGTAGAAGGAGGGTGGTTCGCAGGGCAACCCGTAACTGACCTCATCTATGTAATCGTAAGAAACTCCACCAAACAAATCATTGCCACCGTCTGGAATTCAAAAGATATGAAATTTGTTAATGACTATTTTATTGAAAAATTTGAAGAAAGCGTTGTAAAATTGTTCTCGAGTGATTTTTTGGAATTTTTTATTATAACCTAATTATTGAGAATGGTCTATTAAATTTTGTGATTTTTTTATCAAAACAGAAAAAATCACTACAAACTCACCTGCCGGTGTCAGCGCCAGCGAAGCAAAAAATAAAATAAGAGCAAACGATCCGAACATTTTAAGAGACGTGTACATGCAGATTGTTAAAATGAGCTGTGAGAAGCGGCTTTATGTAGACATGTTTTCAAATATTTGGTCTACAAATTTAATTAACTCAATCCAAAAATATGTTTCGAATTGACGCTAAAAATTTAGCAATGTATGAACAATGATTTAAAATCTAGAATCATGTTAGCGAAAAAAGCGTTAAATGCACACACAATTACAAACATTAACATACCTGTTGAAACTTCACAGAACGTACGTGCTGAACGTTGATATTAATTGACAATTATATACACAACATTAACAGATGTTTTTAATATTCGATCTTTCTCGTGTTCTTTAAAAAACTTTCCAAATATCACTTGTCTGTCAAATCACCAAAGCAAACATGAAGTATAATTAACAATTAATTAATTTAAAAAATTTCATAAATTATATATGCTTGTATGTGTGTGTGTGTGTGTGTGTGTGTGTGTGTGTGTGTGTGTGTGTTTGAGCTCGTAAGCTCGTAAGCTTAACTGACTAATGAGAAATTGTTCTTTTTTACTTTTTTTGTTCATTATAATATAGTTCCGACACACGCAAAACTGCTCCCCTTTCTTACTTTTGAATAACTTGCGTGCCACAAAAGCAGCCCTATCCATCACACCATTCGCAAGCGCCGAATTGCGTGTTCGTGTGGTAGATTATAAGTTTCGGCGTGTGATAGTCTTTCAGTTTCATAGCAGACCACCACGCAACCTCAACACACGACATGACTCGCACCGACTGAGCTAAACCGCCAACTTGTGTTTTCGACTTTCCGATGATTCTCACAGGCAGTGTATAACACATTATTTTATGGCTTAATGATTTTACAATAAGTTCAACCATATATAGGTAGTTTAATTATATATTTATATGCATTTTCATAAATAATCGTAAATAATAAATAAATAATAATCATAAATAATAAATAATTTTTTGAGATTTTGGCAAATAAAAGATTTTAGACAAATATACAATTTTGTATCTAGAAAATTAATAATGGGATAAATTGAAAACTTGTTTTTATTTTCTATTCTTAAAAACTTTCATAAATTCTAACCAAAAACCAATTACATCATAACATGAAGTGCCAGAAACGATAATGGTTTCCTACTTTGCAAGAGTGTTACACACAACATTATTTAATCTGCTTTTTTCAACGGCAGTCCACTTAAAATGTTTGCAGTTTCTAACACTGCTCGTTTTTTAACGTTCATTTCCAAAGCGGAAATCATTTGTTCTTCGTGTTCCACACGTGGTCAGCGCGTGCTATTAAAAACACAAGATTTGTTGTTTTTCACTCTTTTCTACCGGATGGAACAACAAAAGGATAACTTTTACGAAAAATTAACTATAACAGTTTAAAAATTGAACTGTTTTGTTAAAAATGGTGATAAGTCTTTTGAGTAAATTAATAAATGTTATAATGACTTTTAGTTATATATATGCGTGTATATATAACTTTTTTTATAAGTTAAGGTTTTATGTTATAAGTTGATGGTATAGAGTTTCGAAATAATAACAAATATTACACAGTTTTTTTTTTAATTTTTCATAGGTTTAAAATCACTTCCACTGAAAAATATTCTCCTAATGGGCTTGATTAATAAATTATTATACGGTAATAAAAAAATACAAATGCAGTAAGGAAACAATTGCTGTTCGTGCGTGAAATAGCATCGTTCAGTTCGTTCCACCGTGCCAAAAAGACGTCCCTCTTCAAACACTCTCTTCTTAAGCAGAGCTTGCATCAACAAAAATGTATATTTAATAAAACATGATGTAATAAATGCAATTTAATAATCAATAGACAGCAAATCTTTGCGTATGACGTATGTAATGCTGTTGGACCCGACCCTTGACCAGAGATTTCAATCATTTTGCAAAATGTTGGTTCTGGCAAAATGATGGCAAAACGCATGTTCAGAAAATTTTTGAGATAAAAATAAGCACCACATACACGAAGATTCGCTGTGAGTAATCGCATGATAAACAGTAAAACAAATAGTTGAATGATTGAATCTGTTGGTTTATGTTTAAAACTGGGGAAATATATTTATAATCCGTAGTTAGAATTCAAGATATTTAAACTTAAAAATGAATGATAAAACAAAGTATTGGCTCGCTGAACAAAACTATAAAATAAAGACGAATCAATGAATGAGTTTTATTTAACCGAATGAATTTTGATATAACCGAATTGTATTTGCATTTGGTGCCATCTTTCACATAGGAAGTATGATTGCTTCCCAGCCTCATGTGGTAGTTGGGGCAGACGCACTCCCTGTTGATCTTTATATAGGGATGTTTCCCAAGAGCGTATGGGTCCTGCACATAGCATAGCAGTCTTCCACAAAATAGATTTCTTCAGATAAATAAATTGAATCGTTTTCTCAAACATTGAAGGTCAATTAGATTTTGAAAAGTGTAACAAAAGTCAATGTTGCTAAAACCAAATTAGTCTACATTTTGTAGTTGTTCAATAATATATAGCTTACAACAGTTTAATTATTTTTTCAATTTATTTTTTAAATTTTCGTTACAAAAGAAGACTTTCTTTCTGAATTTAACTTTTTTTGCCTGATAAAAAAACTAAGGCTATTATGTAAATTTGGAAGCGAAAATTGACAAACGGAATGGTGCAAGGAAGAATTCTTTCATGAACTGCGTCGTAGTCGCAATTGAAACACTCGTTGACCAGATTAGCGTTTTGCAAGTGACAAGCTCCACTGGCCGATTTGCTGCTTGGATCGTTCCAAAATTCAGAGCACTGTCTCGTTCTAGATAGGCACTGACCTCTTATGCAGTAGTTGTTGTTCTGTATTTTTGTTTTTCAATGTACTTCCGTATTTATTTTTTTTAATTTATTTTAAATAAATCATAGACACTCGTCGATAAGCAACATTAAAGAAATAAACAGCGAAAGATAAAATACTATAACGTAACATTGACAAGTTATAAAAAAAACAATCAAGCAAAACAAATAACTTTTCAGAAAAAAAAAATTGAAAAAGAAAAGAATTAATTTATGTAAACCCTATGTAAGACCACCATCACCATCAATCAAACATTTTCATCAAAGTTTATGTGCATGTTCACCCATTCAAGTACATTAATACAATAATGCCCATTTAACACATACTTTTCAAACTACCCACCTACATTCATAACCCAAATTATCTTCATGCGCACATTCCCAATGACAATAAATTAGAGAAACAAAATTTAGCATCTCCAAAAGGAATCAAATCACAGTTTGTAAACAGAAATAGTTTGTGTTTGTGTGAGAGTGTGTGTATCTGTCTGTTTGTGTGTGTGGTGTGTGTGTGTGTATCTGTCTGTGTGAATGTGTATGTGTGTGTGTGGATGTATGCAAAATTGCAGATACACAAATCTCACGTAACACATTGTGCCATCGGTTTTTACGAGGTCGGCGCACAGATTCGACCGACCGCCACAGAGATCTTCTATGTCGCATTCATCACTAGATGGCCTGCAGAGGGTCCCAGCTTTTCTGATCTTCATTATTTTAAAGTTATATTTTTTTCATTTTCAAATATTTTATATTTATTTTTTGATATCTTTATATTTCTAACACGATCAATTAATTCAACGGACAGACTCAGGATAGCCTAGTGGTTAAAGGCGCCTGGTCCTGTATTGCAGGGCAAGCCTTTACTGGCTTCGAATACGACAAAAGGCTTCTTGCCTCGTGTGCGATGCGTCGTTTAGAATGTATTTTAGGAGCGTGTTGAAGATCTATAGCCTTTTTTAAACATTACTGTTACTTTTTAAATATCAATTTAAAAAAAAGGTAAATAATTATACTGAAAAAATGAATTATTTTAATATTTCCAGATGAATGAATTTTAAAACATACCTTGCAATTATTTAGATCGCAGCATAACCCCGTGGCACATTTGGAGCCAGATGTGAACCTGCATGCCGCCATGTCACAGCACTTCGTTGAACAAATCTATACATACGTGTGTGTATATAATCCAAAATCATCATCTCTCATCGTGTTAACAATTTAACATTCGCTGACCCTTTTTGCTTTTTGCGACAAAGGCCGTGCAGTAAATGTCAGCTTCATTAATGGTGCAATAGAATACATGAGATTATGTTTGTTAGTTTTTTTTATATGGCTTTACAAAACTGCCAGGAAACAGATGAAAACATTTCTGGTTAAAAATTGTTTGTCGACTACATTTTCTGTTTTTTACTTTTATTAAATTTTTGTGATATGGTTTTCAAAAGCGTCATCACTGCGGATGATGCGCTCAATTTGTGAGAGACTAACGCAGTGCAAAGTTTAGCGCGATTTCATTCATACATGTAGAAAATGTTTTACATCTTTTGGAAAGGCACCACAGTCACAATCTTCTCCGACATCCACCCAGCCATTGCCACACCTGCCGTACATGGAATTTATCATCGGTACTCCGGAGAAGAGGCAGGAATGCAAGTTGAAAGTTTCGTCGAACGCTTTCAAAGAACAGCTGGACCAGCTAGCACTCCACTTTTCTTCTGGACTGAGTTCATAAATTTAACTACACACACATATTATGTACGGTATAACTTTAAGACACGCTGCAAACTTGATAATGCTGAAATTCCATTAAACATCAAAGCTCATTTTATGAAATTATCATTGAAGCATTAGAAATTTCGAACTTCAAATATTTGGCCATCAAGCAGGGTTCAGACGGACAGACACAACCGCTGTAGTCTGCAACCACTCCAAACACGTGGGCCAACTCGTGAGCGACAATCTTCGAGGTGTAAGAAACGTCAGATGTCGGCTGGAAGATATTTAATGAATTATTATTTATATAAATAATGCGGTAAACAGTGGAATATTTTAATATATTTAAAACTTATAACAACCTATAAAACCATTGGTTTAAATAAGATCCGAACGTTCTGTGGCAAGAAACGTAATAATTAAATTTTCTCGTCTTATAAAGTCCAAAATAAACTGAAAATAAAAAAAAAGTTTAATACTGTGTGTGAGACCCAGAAGGTGGAATCAGGCGAACACATGGACTTGAATAAAGAGAGTCCCATTGAACCGTCGGGAAAAACTTTGTCCCTGAAATAATTCATTTCAAGTGTCAAATTTGTCATCTCTCCTATTCATGACAACATATACAAACAAAATCAGCAAAGATGTATCAGAGATCGGAATCTCGTCAATTAAATATTTCTTGTGGTACGCGTACCAGAGATCGAAAAATTCTACGCTGTCATCATTCTTGTAAAAATTCAACAGTGGAGCCTCCCAGATGATCATAGCAACCACGGCAATGTAAATGTCAATCTTTTGATAGTACTGTTGAAACATATATAGAATTACAATTTGGTAATTCCTTATTCAGCAAATTTATGTATTCTTTATTTAGCAAATTTCGTGTTTCTATTTATGTTTTTTAATCAAATGATCTCAACTCAAATGCCTACTGAATAAATGATTTAAAATTTGTGTAAATGGTATGATTAAGAAACAGGTCAAAACTTATCAAAATAAAAATTATATACTTATTTGTAAATAATTTAAATGTGAATAATGTAAGCGAAAGTGAGTAACAAAACAGAAACTCACCACACTGGCCCCACTGAGAACCAGCATCACTTCACTGGTTGTCCTATTACCGAAACTTAGGAACTAAAGAAAACGTCATTCTCAAAAGTTATTCCCATCGAAACAAATATCATGGCAAAGTTTAAATCATTAAGAAAAGTTTTATGAATATTTGTAATGCAAGTCGAAAAAAATGATGTTGACAAATTTTTTCCAGTGCATATATGATAATGTCGATTGGGATGAACGGTATGTTAGTTTCAATAAATTTCAGCGGCCTTGAAATGGTGATTCATCTGAGTTTGTTACAATAACATCTGAGGTGTTTGAACTGTAAAGTTTGAATGTAGATGCTTTGTCTACTTGTTTTTGAGTTATTGAGGGTTATTGCTAGACGTTTTAGCTCAGATGGTAGAAAAGACGTCTCTCACTACTACGCCGTGGTCTGGTTCGAATGCTTCTGGCCGAAACTGAATTATTATCATTCCACTCCATACGCGTATGATACGGTGTTCATAGCATAGACTTGGTGGTGCAGAGGTTTGCGCAGTCGTTCATATTTCAGAACTGCAAAACATAAAACAATAAAAAAAGTTAATTAACTATGCTGTAATCCACAAAGACAAAGATTTTGACGATTCTTATTTTTTGGTCGTGTTTTTCTTTCGGCAAATATCTTTTTGCAATCTGACGTGAAAACAATGAAATTGATGGATTTGTAATTTAAAAATGGGACATTGATCTACCTGTTTTCTATCCACGAACTTTTTGTCATAACCGTTGGATATGTTGGTCAGACCTGTGATGCAACATTAATTTGTTTGATGATTTTTATTTTTGTTACTAAAACTATAAAATTTTGCTGGAAAATGTCATTTGTGTTTTTACTTTTAATTATTTCAAGTATTTCCAGGTGAATCGACATTGAATGAAACAGCTTAACGGCATTTCACTAAACGCAATGAGGATATTGTTATACCCCTTAGTCATCAACATAATGATTTTTTCTTGTAGTTTGGTTCTATCTTCTGAAAATTTAAATCCTATCAATCTCCACAAAAATGAATCACATTTTCTAGATTTTTATTGATAAACAATAATCTAGCAAGAGAGTTTCTTTCTGACCTCGTTGTATTAATTGCATTCTAATAATATCTGATGGATCGTTAGTTTTTTTTATAACCAATTTCACGTGTAGATAAATTTTTTGTCGAAGCTCCATAAATGAGTGAGTGAAGTATTTTCCATGAATTGTTGAAGATCCATGAATCGCTGAGTGAACTATTTTTAATCTAGTTAAACTTGAGTTTGCGATTTAAGCCGGCATGTTCCATTTTTTTAAAAATAAACTATAGGTATGCCTAATTTTAGAAAAATTGAGATTTTTTTGTTACAATCACTGTTCAGTGATTACGTAATAAAACGTGAAACCAGAAAAGACCAGGCACCAAGTACACCGAGTTTGCTAATGTAAATTTATTCAACTTCTCACTCATAAACATCAACAAATTTTAAGTCTTTAAAAATTAAATAAAATTAAACATCGTATTTATTAGCACTCATGCAAGAATTTAATAAATTCACCGCAAAAAGTTCCGTTTGCGATCTTTGCTTTTTCTACAATGACGTCATCATACGATCCAGGATGCTGAGGCTTCACTTCGAAAACTTCGTCATTTTTTTGATAAAAACCTCTTTATTAAGAAAATATTCAAAAATTCACATGTAGTCCAAGAAGAAAATTCTGTAAACATGTTCCAACCTTATTTCAAAGCACAATGAAACAGTGGCTGTTTGAGAATTTATCCCGTCAATATTTCCTTCATAGTAGCAATTTGTTCTCTGAAAATATTTTAAAATAGTTTTTGCAGTTATTGAATGCTTAAAATATTCTATTGCCGTTGATTTAAAAAAAAACAAGCACGTCTTCTTTCTAATAATTATCAGCTTCTCTATTAAATTTCTCTGTTACAGACCACACCAAAACAAATTTAATCTAATTATTTTTACACGGTGTGACATGTGTCATATTAAATAATTTTTACTGGCGGCAATAACCTTCTTATTAACTCGCCTTCGTCGGTTGTCTGCCCCAACCACATACAGAGTGAAATTCTGTGCTGTTATAACCCTTTATAGAGAAAATTAAATTAAATTATAACCAGCTTTAGTCTATTCGAACAGAAAATAAAAAAAACTAGAACCTGTTCAAATTCAAAAACATCTCAAACTGCAAAGTTTTATTTCTCATAAACTTGGTTTTCAAGAATATAAGTTCCTGATTAATTTGAAAATAATTAGATGTAAATTATTTTTTCTGAAAAATGGCAAACATTGAATATATTTGCAGTCCAACAATATAGAACATAAAAACTCTTTCAAAAATTGTCCACAATAAAGTAACATGCAGGGTCGGATTTAGAATTGGAAGAATCTTCACTTTTCCTACATTGTCTCAGGGCTTACACACATGTAAATCCGGCCCGGATGATATGAAATAGAATATTTTTATCATACCCGGGGGTAAATTTTTCAGAACAGCAGATGCTTTGGGACATGCGGCACAGTCATACCAAAAATAATTTAGCGCTATATCGTAATGGTTACAACAAATTTAAAAAATAAATTTAAGAAATACAATCTTGTCATGATCAAGTTGATTCTTTTATTTTTTGAAATTTTTATAAAATATAATAAGACAATTAATTTTATTCAATTTTAGTTAAAATCTTTTTTGAAATAAGTAAAAAAATAAAATCCAAAATAAAATATGATTGAATATAAGAATAACATTTTTATGAAGATCTTTCGGGCTGATTTGTTCGTTCGCCTCATCGTAATATAATAAGTTAAACTGGTCTTGAAAGGCATGTTCTGCTGGTAATTAAGAATTTTTATATTTTTCAACTTATATACAGTTTTGATTGCTTAAAAATTTTAAATCTGACAAATTTATTCAAATAACATTTAAAAAATCAATTTGTCGCTCACTTGTAAACAATATCAAAATTAGTAACTCAGTTTCAAACATGTTTGTTATTGTTTACATTAAAAAAAACTTCATTGAATTAACGTCAAAATGTGGATAACAATTCGAATGTTTTGAAATTAGAAAATCTCATCAAACATTTTCTCAGTAATATTTAACGGTAAATGTTATAATTATAAATTAAAATGCATTTATGTCTGGTTTGTTGAAAATTAAAAAAAATAAATAAAAATTTAGTTTGTAAATTCTAAAAATATTTTGAAACTTGCTAAAGAAATTAAAGAAATTATATCAATATATTTTACAAATTTAGCTATCTGATTGACATGTAAAGTTTGAAAATAAACCATTACTTTTATTGCATTACTTATTGCTAAATTAAGATTTCGGGTAATACCAATTTTATCGGTCTTTGTTAGACTAAGACTTGTTGTACTTATTTTTATTTCTTTTGGCAAAAAATGTGTTTCTAAAGTTAGCATTTTAATTTTAGTTTCTCAATTTCTAATTAAGATTTTTATTCACAATGAATTTATATTTATTTAATTTTATTATTTATTAAAATTATGATTAATCAAAATCGGGACTCATTTCAATTATCTTAATCTAGACTAGAAATTAAATAATTTTTAAAGAACTAATTTATTCTTTTTTTAAAATAATCTATTATTTAAATTAAAAAAAACAAAACAAACTTTTTCATTATCAAATTTTTCTCAAATTATTTTTATTTTTTGTATTATTTCAAAAGTTCATAACTAAAGTTATTCAGACTTTGTATTTTAAATATTCCTACCAACGTAACTTTCTATTAGTGAATATTCCACCACGTTAAATATCT